ATAAAATCCTAAAATTAAGCCTCCTAAGTTATGGCGGGATCAAATGAGCTGGGCCATCACAACACACACGAGGAAACTATTAAAAACAAATCAACCAAGGGGATGATCAGACCTAAAACCTGAAATCAAGTCCAAATAAGGGTCCGAGTGAACTGGGTTTGATACATTATAACAGCCAAAAGATGGGATTTATCAACTCTCCACTAGGGAATGGTAATTCGTTTTCCGTCCACATGAAGATTTTGATAGCAATATAGTCAATTCATAAATTGCAATAAAGGCTACTAATCACAATCTACAAACTGTTTATGGTAGCATCTCTCCTCAGTAGTATATATAATCTATGGATACAAGATATTTACCTATTCTTGAAGATACTTAAAACAGTCCGCTATCATTGAGAGTATTATCCCAACTTTTCTTGCTCTAGTTTTGTAACCACAGCCTTTTTTTCGTCATCCGGAAGAGACATGAACATGAAAACAGATTTATCCCCAATATCATCCTTCAAAAAATCAAACCAGAATATAGATTATTGGTACTATGACATTTGATACTTCTGTAAATAGAAAGACCTCTACGAAAGCTTGAATATGCAAATCTTCAATGAGGAACAGTGTACCTTTATAGGCTGAGTGAATTTTCTTCCAGCAAATACTAGAAAGAGTGCCATCCATGTTCCTAGCAACACCAGTTTTGCCTCATCATTCATCAGACCACTCTGCATATTCAGTATAGCAGTTTAAGTAAGGCCAAATAAACAAATACCAGATCCCAGTTTTAGGAAATGTGAAGTTTTCTCTTTAGAAAAACGATGCAGCAGTTTATAGCTATATTGGCCTTCTGATAAGTTCTTATTTGATTTAAGGAGTCTGATTCAAGGTAACTAAAGTATGATATCTTAATCAGACAAGCTACTTTACCAAATGACCAAGAAGAACTGAAGGTATGATGAATGTAAGAAGGCCAGCTTCTAGTTTCCCGTAGCAGAGTCCTGCAGACAGAAATGCAAATCAAGAACATCGGTATGTTTCCAAATAGCAGGAAAAAACATTTTATCCTCAAATGCAGATACAAGATTTTTACCTTCTTTGAAAACGAGGCCTGTGAGAGCGGCGAAAAGGGGACCAACAAACCACACAGCAGTTGGATGATCAACGACATACTGAACCAAGTTATCACCTGCTGGTCTGGCAAGGGCTGCGTAAGTGGCCAAGGAACCAACAAAACCAAGTGCCCACAAAGCTTGAAGAGTCCTCTTAATCTCCGTTACATATATATGAATAAGAAACAGAGATAGCCCCAAACCACTAGCACCAGCGAAGTAAAACAAGTCATGGTTTTGCTTGATTATTTCACTTAACCAAGAGTCTCCTGGTAAAAATGCCGCAGAAGAAGCAGCTACAAAAGATGCAGCAGCAGTGACTAGTCCTGATCTGTACAGAATAACCTGAAGAACAGAAGATACTCTTTCAAAACTTCCATTGAAACTTCTACTAAACAAACAGGGCTCAACTACAAAGTTCCACAGTAAGTTCAACAGGCTTAGTCACCCCATAGTTTCTGAGCTACCTCTACACTATACGATTATGAGCATATGAACAAATTGGCCTAGAACTATCAAAAGGATTCAACTTGCATGTCAATGAGAACAAAGCACATCGCAATATCTGAAATTTAAGGAACCCAAAAGCAGAAAAGTTAGTATGAATTGAGCAGGAATCGTAAGGAGAGAAGAGAAGCACCTCTTTGACATCGGATTGTTCAATGGTCCAGGGACCGTAAACACCTTTGTAAACAGTTCCATCGACGGCTCCTTGCGAACCATCGCTCAGAGCTCTAACGTTAACCCTTCGCCTTCTCACCCCAACTCTCGCCGTCAAATACGCCGATGATTTGTAGAGATTAGCCGGCGGTGTGATGAGTGTCGTCGTCGATAATAAACGCGAGGCCATGGTCACGGATTGAATTCACAGAAGTCGTACCGGTTTGGCCTGGCATAGGCATAGGTAAATTACTAAATTAGCTAGTGAAAGATCAGAGGTGTCTAAACGCAGTCGTTTTGGTTATGATGTGGTTCGGTTGAATTGGATGAAAGAAGGGAGAGTTACATTGAGACATCCTTTATGTATGTTTGTCTTCACTTTAACACCCTTTAGGTTTATGGCACCGTTTTTTGCTATCTTTTATACTGTAGACACCAAATTCTGACTAAAACACCCTCAGTTAAATATGAAAGCTTAACTAAAATAATTATAAAACTTTAACGTTCAGCCGTATGATGATAACTATATTTTTTTAAGATCTTGTGGCTAAGAATAAAAGATGAGAGATGAACACTAGCGTCATTTTTTTTCTTTCTCTCTAGCTTCTCCCTCTCTCTCTCTCCTCTGGTTTCCAGTTCGGTCGGGTTCAACTCTTCTTGAACGCAGGACCTTTTTCGTCACATACCCAAATTAAAGACAAAACAATTCTCAAAACTTGGAACTCGGATAATCCCAATTTATGTAATTGGGCGTCATATACGGGGTAGTGTAATAGTGTTTGTTGTGGATACGATACGGTGAGAGCTTCTTCATTTTTTGGGTTTTTACTTAAATCATATTGATTTTCTGAAGGGAATCTTACAACGTGGCATCTCTCTCTTTCTAGCTCATTCACTAAGCGTGCCCACATGGATGTCTATTTTGGATGTGATTTCATTTTGGTCTTGTGTTACAGAGAAGAAATGCAACAATATATGGAGATTGGGTTAACCATTTTGGTCTTGTATTATCATTAAAGATGACTATCGGTAATATAAAAGCATGATTGTTGATGCTACAAAAAAAACTGACCATATGGTCAATGTTTGGTGGACGTGGATGGTGAGCGATGGCCACAAACATTAGTTATGGATGCGGTCACGTGGATGGTGAGCAATGGCCACAAATTAATAGACTATGTAAACACTTCCAAACCAATCTCAAAGCTCTCTGCAACCCATACGTAAATCCTTCAAATACAAACATGTCCTCTACTATGATTCTTTATATTCACGTATAAAGTAACACAAGATCAAGGTATCTTTGTCTCCAAGTTTGTTCCTCACTTTACTCCACTACATCTCCCGTTGAATAAAACATAGTTGGTAACGTGATGTACTTGTTGGACACGAACGTGCTTCTTTTTTAGTAGATGCACGTTATGATTGATCAAAGAAAAAACTATGACACGAAACAAATATTTCCAACTACATACAATCCTAGAAAAAATCCAAAATCATAAAAAGAAAGCATCAAACATTAAAAAGCATCAAACATTAAAAAGCATCAAACAGAGAAGTGAAAAAGCAAAAGACTATAGAACAAGCATCAAGACTTGAAGTTGGTGAATGATGATGTGAGGTTGAGTAAGACTTGGAGATCGTCACGACCAACAAAGAACATGAAGAAGACAATCATCATCACATAACTAATTCATTTGTTCATAATCGACATGCCGTTCATATGAACTAAATGGTTAAAGTACAAACATGCCATTTGTTGTGTATTCTTTTTGCCATCCATTCACATATAAACTAACACAACATCAAATCGTAGTTTTTCAATGTTTCTCCAAGTTTGTTCCTCAATTTATTTCTCTACATCTCACGTTAAAAAAAGCAAAGTTAGTACATGACGTACATTTTGGAGACAAATGTGCTTTATTCTTCAAGCAAACCAAGACAGTTCTTTTTAGTTGATCAAAGCAAAACTATGACAAGGCACAAGCATTTTTAACTACAGACCATCCAAGATAAAATTCGAAATAACCAAAAATGTGAGATTTGACCATTGGAACTTGTTTTATCCAAGAAGTGCAATCCACAAAACTGATGTCCACAATTATATTATCCACAAAAGCTATGTTTGTTAATGTCCACAAAACAACACTTCTAACACGGAGATGGGTCAACGATTCCGACGACACTGTTGGAGAGAAGCTTGAAAAATTTGTAGATCCATTGAAAAACAATTCTAGGCAAAGGAGAATCATATGAAAAGGGTTAGAGGCGGCGAGTGCTTCTGTAGATGACAATGGTTACATTTGTGTTCTTACAAGATCTTCGAGCAATTGATCTAAGAATCAAGCAGAAACATGGTGGTTGGGGAAAGTTCTTCTGTTGGTGAACAACAAGCTATGCAACGAGGTGGGGTGAAGTGTGGCCAGCAAACAAATAGATCTTGCGAAGATCATCTTCAGATTTGACCGAGATGAGATCTGTAATTTTTCAAGCAACAGAGAAAGAGAAGAAGACATTGTTTTGATTCTGATACACAAGAGCTCTATATGTCCCGATCTCAATCCATCGTGGTTTGGGGGTTAAGATTTTTAATTGGAAATATATTTTTTTTTAAATGAAAAAGTTATTAAATGATAAACAAAACAAATAACGAGAGTTAGGTTAAAGGTTAATAGGATCACATTAGTTAAAGGGGTAAAACTGATAAAGCACAAGAGAAAACGGTGCCTTGGACGAAAACGGTGTCATACCGTAATACGAAAGAGAGAAAGGGTGTCTCTTTGCTATTTTTTCATGAAAGAATTAGTACAGTAAGAAAGATCTCAACTACAGAGCCACACAAATAAAGTTTTCCCAAATTTAAAGGCTTAGACTATGGCTGATACAGAGTCTCATATGTTAAATCTTTGTGCTCTATGTTGTTAGATTTCACGCCTCATCTTTCTGACAATGCAAAAGCCATGGCGTGTTAGCTTTGATTTGATTCAACCGATCTCTACCACTCCGAGCATCAAGATGAAGTATACCTATTGTTATAATCACTATCTTGATTCTAGTAACATCATAAATCTTGTTAACATCTTATCTAAGAAGAAGAAAAATATGAAATCCTTTTTCTTCATATAAGCTCATCTCCGGATCAACCAAGATTTTGGTTGTTGGCTAAACTAGTGCACACCTGTGTAATGTAAAAGTTGTGCATAAGAGCTGAGTAAAAGAAGCATGACACGCAAGATATCAAGATGAAACGTTGTTGTTTGGATTTCTGTTTATTTTTACATCAAGAACACAAGGTTACATTACACAAGATCCTAGCATATGGTAAAGGCAGTCACTGCAGAACCAAAATCACAGTTGCTTGTGGTCCAATGAGATATAAGAGACATCATTCATATACAACTCAGACCTCATTCAATCTCAATCTGTTGAGGAGCTTCTTCGTCATCCGAGACCATCCCATCCGCATCAGCTCCCTCTTCCATAATACCGGAAGCTTCAACAGTTTGCGTCACCCAATCCTTGAGCGGCTCTTCGTTTAGATCAAGTCTTAGAAGTCCAGCAAACATCCCACCCACAAATGCAATTGGCTCCTACAAGCAAACAACCACAATGCAATACAGAGCATTAGATGCATCAAAACATCATCGAATGCGAAAACACACATACACAATGTAACACTTAACTAGTACTCTCACAAGCCTCCAAGATTGATCAAGAACACAAAATCACATCAAGAAATTGGCATACGTATAGTAAACTGGAACAACTCATATATGAATTTCAACTAATTCGCATCGCACAAATCCTATTAGTAAATAGTTGGAAAAAAAGAGAGAACCTTGAGAGCCTCGGAGAGAATGGGTTCTTGAGGGAGATTGAAACAACGTGAATTCGAAATTAGGGCTCTACGGGTCGGAGGAGATAACTGATGACGACGCCAAAGCTCGCAGCTTTTTACTCCGGCGGAGAACTGAATTGTGAGTCCACAAAAGTAAATTTGTAAACTGAACAATCAAATCAGAAGACGAAGAACAAAGCTGAACATACCTGGTGATGATGGAGCTGAGAGACAACGAGGAGCGAGGAGGAAGGGGGACAAGTACAGGTTAAGACAAAACCCATCGTTTCGTCTTCCTCGGTGCTCAGAAAGTTATCTCTACCGCAAGACTCCACACAAAACCCACAGCGAGAGATTTCTCAAAATTTGTGGATTTGGGTTATCCGACGTTCTCCCGTATCTAAACCATTAATTAACCGAACTTTTTCTTCAATTGAAATAATTTGTTTTGGTTTAGTTAACGTATAACAAAAGGTCGGATAATTATCGATTTGACCGATCTAATCCATAAATCACATTAGTAGTTGATAAAACATATAAGTGTAAGTGTGTAACATTCAAGTTTAGCATATAAGAACAATAAGATTTTGTGGTTTACGATTGATTTAGGTAGCCTGCAATGCTAAAGAGTTTGAGAATTATACATAATTAAATCTTATATTTTTTTATAAACATCATAAAGTATTAATTATACACAATATGCACTATCATACGATGTATCTCTTTGTTTCTTGGATAATGAACATGTTCAAGTTCATGCGACTAATCATATAAAGCATTCGAATAGTCAATATGAAGCGCCACAGAATTTAAATAAGAAAAACGATAACAAATAGTTTTCTATAGTAAAGTTTCCATAATAATATAGATATAAAATTGCTTTCTTTTTAGTCCTATTTGTGAAATCAAGTATACTCCTTCCGTTACATAAAGGATGTTGTTTTGGGATTTTTTTGTTTCATAAAGATTGATGTTCTACAGATTTTAATTAATTAATATTAATATTTTGTTAAGTTCAAAAAGTAATCATTGATAAATTTTGAATTTCTGAATTGTTATTGATTTTTAATTAAATAATATTTTTTTGGTGAGAGAAAATAAAGTTTTTTAAAATAATCATGATTGTTTTTTAATTTACGGAAAATTTTCTAAACATCAATCTTTTAGAAACAGAGGGAGTATAATTTAATATAGGATCAATCATGATTAAACGAAATGAAAATAATCATTCATTTGGATCCGAGAGATTGCGAAAGTTGCAATCATGAGTATTGTAAAGCATGTGATTAGCCCATCATTTCATCAAGTGGCACACATATATTCATAGGAAAAAACTCGATCTTGTACAAATTTTAAAACAGATAATTGGAAAAAAAAAAAGAGTTAAAGGAAGTTCCGTTTCTAAAAACAAATATTCTATAGTCTCGTATATGTGTAGTCGTTTCAATGCAATTTTAGAAACAAAGGTCGCTAGATTAAGTCAAGCGACGGCTTTACAATTGCAACACTATATATAGCATAGCTATGTCGTCACAAATCTCCCAAATTAGTTTATATATCATCACAAAATCGTTATGAAATTCTGAGACTATCTAGTGCATGCATGTGTCACTATGCTTCACAATTACAAATAGATATAACAACCGTAAAACTCGCAACAATAGGTATTCAAATTTTTTTCTTTTTAAATGTAAGTTAATTAGGAGATTCTTAAAATGATTAAAGTTCATAATTGAAAGCCAAAACATATTACAACTACAAGTGATCATAACTAAGCCACGAAGAATCTCACGTTCCTAAAAAAATAATAGCATGCCTAAAGAGAAAATAGATAAAAGATTAGCAAAAGAAAAAAGAAAATAAAAATCCATTGCAGATTGGTTCATAATCCTACATGATTCACTAGGGCCAATCCTAAAAGCCACAAACTCATTTCACTTTCACTTATGATTAGATGGTGATGATCATCTGATTTTGCACATTTCCATGTGACGACTCACTTTTTCGTATCTAAAAAAGAATTCTAAAGAGACCTTTAGAATAAAAGAGAGGGTCCCTACACAATACGCATACTCATAGTGAAGGTGATCTCGTCTATTTAAACAAACCCGTATTCACTCTTTAAACATAACTAAATCCAACCATTTCTAATTATCTCTCTATCATTTCACATATTGAGTGTTTTGAGCAGAATACATTAGTTAACAATGGAGATCAATGGCAAATCAAATGCTGGTTCGTCGTCCTCTAGATCAAAAAAGAGCCAAAGGCAAAAGCAGCAACAACCGCAGCCACAACCACAACAACATAATGAAGAAATAAAGTACGTAGGAGTGAGGCGGAGGCCGTGGGGAAGATACGCAGCTGAAATAAGAAACCCGACTACGAAAGAGAGGTATTGGCTAGGTACTTTTGACACGGCCGAGGAGGCTGCACTGGCCTATGATAGAGCCGCACGGTCCATAAGAGGCTTGACTGCTCGAACCAACTTTGTCTACTCTGATATGCCTCGTGGCTCCTCAGTAACTTCCTTCATCTCTCCTGATGAATCCCAACGTTTCATTTCCGAGTTATTCAACCCTCCAAGCCAGCAAGTAGCTCTTAGCACCAACAACAACAATCTCTACGCATCGTCCAACAACCAAAGCCAAAACACTATTGAATTCTCATACAACGGGTGGCCTCAAGAGAGTGAATGTGGTTATCAATCTATAAATAGTAATGATGAGCAATGTGATCATGAGCTCCCACCTCTTCCTCCAAGTACTTGTTTTGGAGCTGAACTCAGGATTCCGGAGACCGATAGCTATTGGAATGTAGCCCATGCAACAAACATGGATACGTTTGCATTTGAGCTCGATGGCTTTGTGGATCAAAACAGTATTGGTCAGAGTGGAACAGAAGGGTTTGATTCTGTATCCTCCACATTCTTCTACCAATAATAATACTAAGTTACGTTGTCCAAGTTTATGTCGTTCTTGTTTGATATGTATTCCCTATCCTTCTCGCCTTTATTGTGGACTGGAAAGAGAGAGTGTATCATCTCTATCGCTTTTATTATGTTTCTCTCATAATTCAAATGTTTTGTAATTGGTACTTACCAAATGAATTTAAGATTCACTTGACCAGTGCTTTTAATTTCCTCGTAACGCCTACCATTGTGTAATAAGTAACGATTGCTTTAAAATTTTTAAGTATTTGTTTCGCTAATGGCTTTTTGTAGCTGTAAATTAGGTATGTTTATTTTGGTTCTCACCAATATTAAATAATTTTTGATACTATTTACTACAAGACGTTTGGGTAAAACAACATGCTTTAACTTGTTCATTAACCTTAAAAGAGCGTTAATAAAAAAAAAAAAAGTCAACCACACATCAACAAAAACAAAAAAATGGAGAAAGCGATCTCAAAGAACCTGAGAGGAGACGACGAAGAAAATGCAAGTTTGATCTCTGCACTTCCCTCAGACGTAGGTTTCGATGGCACAAAGCTGTTCAAATACCAAGGATGTTGGCACGACAGCACAAGTCTCCAAGGAATCCTCAATTTCCAAAGAGGTTTCAAGCCACAAGACACTGACATAATCGTTGCTTCGTTTCCCAAATGTGGTACTACTTGGCTTAAAGCTCTTATAGTAGCTCTCCTTGAGAGATCTAACCACTCTTGTGATGATCATCCCCTTCTACTTGATAATCCTCACGGCTTAGTACCATTCCCCGAGCTGAGACTCTTCATGGAAACCTCGAAACCAGATCTGACCAGTATCACATCATCCCCGAGGCTGTTCTCAACTCACATGCCGTTGCATACTCTCCGAGTGGCTCTCAAGAACTCTCCTTGTAAGATTGTGTACGTGTGGAGGGACGTGAAAGACGCGTTGGTGTCGTTTTGGTACTTCAAGTGCGCAATTCTAAAGATAGAAGAAGAGAGGAGCATGTTGGAGTCAATGTTCGATTCGTTTTGCAGCGGAGTCATCAATTACGGACCATTTTGGGAACATGTCTTGAGCTATTGGAAAGGAAGCATGAAAGATCTTAAGAGTGTGCTTTTCTTGAAGTATGAGGAGTTGAAAACAGAGCCTCACGTTCAGCTCAAGAAACTTGCTGAGTTCTTGGGTTGTCCTTTTACGGTGGAAGAAGAGAGAGGATCCGTGGAAGAGATCTTAGAGCTTTGCTCATTGCGTAACTTGAAGAATCTGGAGATCAACAAGACCGGAAGAACCACTAGAGGGGCCGCTCACAAGAATTTTTTCCGTAAAGGCGAAGTTGGTGGTTCCAAGAATTATCTGACTCCTCAAATGGAGAAGAGAATTGATATGATCATCGCGGAACATTTTCAAGGTTCGGATCTGGAATTTTAAGTCACATATCTATCTTTTATGTGCCGTTTAATTGTGCTTTGGTTGATCAATGTGCCTTATGTCGTTGTTAAGTTTATCATCTTGTTAATTACTACTTTTGATGTCGGATTTGGTTTCGTTAAACTTATCTAGAACAATTCTTTTGAAACCAAAATCGAATATTATTTGCGTTCGATATATCTAATTAGAAAATTATTGTATATGAACAGCACAACACCTAAACTTATTTAATCTGGAGTGGTATTCTCCTTTTGTTGTCAGCATTAGTTGTTAGTTGTTACTGATGGAGAATATATATATATTTCCATAATAATTAACAAGTGCGTTTGTTGAACTTGAAAAGAAAGAAAGAAATATTTTTTTCATCAAAAAAAATATATTCTGCCTACCGTACAAATCCTTTTGAGTAACGATTATATTGTTGTATATGTATACTTATGTTTTGTGATTAAATAAGTCAACCCACAGGCCAAACAAAGAAAAAAAATGGATAAGGAGATCTCAAAGAACCTGCCGAGAGAAGATGATGAAGAAACCATAAATTTGATCTCCTCACTTCCATCAGACATAGACTTCGAAGGCACGAAGTTGTTCAAGTACCAAGGATGTTGGTACAACGAAAAAACTTTGCAAGCAATCCTCAGTTTCCAACGAGATTTCGAGCCACAAGACACGGACATAATTGTTGCTTCGTTCCCTAAATCAGGCACTACTTGGCTTAAAGCTCTCACTGTCGCTCTCCTCGAGAGATCCAAACACTCTTCTGATAATCATCCTCTTGTCCTTGAGAATCCTCATAGCCTAGTACCATTCTTCGAGCTCAGACTGTACCTGAAAAGCTCGAAACCAGACCTGAGCAATATCTCATCATCCCCGAGGCTATTCTCGACTCACGTTCCCTTCCAAACGCTTAAAGAAGGTCTCAAGAACTCTCCTTGTAAGATCGTGTACGTGTGGAGGAACTTGAAAGACGTGTTGGTTTCGTTTTGGTATTTCAAGTGTGCAAATCAAGAGATAGAAGAAGCGAAAAACTCGTTGGAGTCAATGTTTGAGTCGTTTTGCACTGGAGTTAGCTATTACGGACCCTTTTGGGAACATGTCTTGAGCTATTGGAGAGGAAGCTTAGAATACCCCAAACATGTACTATTCTTGAAGTACGAGGAGTTGAAAACAGAACCTCATGCTCAGCTCAAGAAACTTGCCGAGTTCTTGGGTTGTCCTTTTACGTTGCAAGAAGAAGAGAACGGATCTCTTGAAGAGATCTTAGATCTTTGCTCATTTAGTAACCTAAAGAATTTGGAGATCAACAAGACCGGCAGAACACCTGGAGGAGTTGATCACAAGAATTTTTTCCGTAAAGGCCAAGTTGGTGACTCGAAGAATTATCTCACTCCTGAGATGGAGAAGAGAATTGATATGATCATTGAGGATAAATTTCGAGGTTCGGATATAAAGTTCTGAGTTATCTTTATTTATGTGTGGTTTTATTTTGCTTTATTTAACCAAAGTTCCTTTTCTTGTTATGTTTCTTCGTGTATGATTCATGATGTCTATCATTTGTTACTATACTACCTTGGTGTTGGATTCGGTTTCCTTGAAGTAAGAACAATGATTTGATCCCAAAACTAACAAAAGCATATGCAAAGCATTAATTGCAATATATAAATGAATAGATAGTTGTATAGTGCTTTTCCATAATTTATAGTGAACACAAAGTCATCGGTAGTAACGTTACTAACACCATATCCCTAAAAATGGGAGAATCTATCAGGAATGGTTCCTGGTTTAAACTTAGAGGCTTCATGTCTCGCAAGTTCAGGTGGCACCAAACTATTAGATTCAACAAGCTTCTGCTTCAGACCGTAAAACACATCTTTATCCTCGAGAGTCAAGAACGTTGTCGCAACACCTGTCTTCCCTGCTCGTCCAGTTCGTCCAATCCTATGCGTATACATATCTATTGCGTTAGGCATATCGTAGTTGATGACGTGAGCCAAATCAGGAATATCAAGCCCACGGCCTAAAACATCTGTTGCAACAAGAACGTTGAATCTCTTTTGTCTGAACCCTTCTAAGCTGATATCTCTCTGTTCTTGCGACTTCCCTGCGTGCAATGTTGTCACACGACACCTTGATATCTTTTCTAGATTCTTGACGATGAAGTCAACCTTGTTCTTGGTGTTCACAAACACAATCGCTGTCTTCTCATCACCGAGCTCATCGATCAGTTTCTTTAACCTAGAGAACTTTTCTGATTCTTTGATCATGATCACTTGTTGAAAGACCAGCTTTGTGGTCTCCCCAGTGTTGACCACGACTGGATTCCTCATGTACTTTCTAGCGAGACGCTCTACACTAGAAGACATTGTGGCACTGAACATATACGTAGTTCTGTAAATCTTCTTTTCTTCAAGCTCTTCATCTTCATTCTCTGGTTTCAAATTACTTGAAGGCATTGCATTTAACACTTCTGCAACCTGTGGCTCAAAACCCATATCAATCATACGGTCAGCTTCATCAAGAACCAAATAGTTACATTGGTTCAACACCACGTACCTTGTCTCAAGACAATCGAGCAATCGACCAGGCGTGGCAATCAAAATCTCGCATCCTTGTGATAGCTTCAACGCTTGTTTCTCTATTGACTCCCCACCAACGATGGAGATCACTTTTAACCCCAAATAACGTGCAAACTTAACCGTCTCTTCTTTAATCTGCTTTACAAGCTCTCTTGTTGGAACAAGAATAAGAGCATAAGGACCGTCACTCTGATTCTCTTCCCTCATTGGTGGCAATCTTGATATGTAAGATAGCATCGGCAGAACAAAAGCAACGGTTTTGCCTGAACCAGTCTCTGCAATGCCGATAACATCTCTCTGTTCAAGTCCTAAAGGTATAGCTGCCATTTGAATAGGTTTAGGTTTCTCATAACCAGCTCTTTCCACAGCTTTCACTAGCTCAGGACTAAGCTTACCCTCTTCCCAGTTCCTCATCGGGTGAGGAACCTTGGATCCTTTATAAGATATATTAAAGTCTTCCTTGAAAATACGCCAATCTCTTTCACTCATCTCCTCTAACTTCTTCTCGCTCCAGTGCTTATCTCTTTCCTCACGCTTCTTAGCCGCCACTTGTTTTTTCTGTTCACGGCGATCTATCCCAGCGCGAAACCCTCTCCCAAACAGAAGCTGAGCTTCGTGAGGGTTTTGGTATAGAACATTCATATCTCCACTGGAAGTATCTTCAGTGTTCTCCCAATCAAAACAGAACTTCTTGCTCGGCTTCGTGATGACTCTCTTCTTAGGCTTCGTGGTTCCTAGGTATTGCTCTTTCATGGCGTTAATCTCCTTCTCACGCTCTAACTTCACTGATTTCTCAGCCCTAGCTTTGCCTTCACGTTCACGATACTCACGCTCGCTCTCTCTGTCTCTGTCACGGTCGCGGCCTCGTTCTCTAGTCCGATCTCGGTAACGGTTTCCATCGCTATTATCGGAATTGGAGCTAGTGATCTGAACGAGGCGGCGATGACGATCCTCGGTTTTATCGTGGCGGCGTTTTAGGGCTAATTCTTCTCTGTGAGCTTTGGTGAGGAAGACGGGTTTCTTAACAACGGTGGGATCGAGAACCTCCTTTTCCGTAGTAGTTAGCATGGATCCTTGGAACGATCGCTTCATCGATTTAGGGTTTCCACGATGAAGAAGATAAAGAGACAAAGAGAATTAAACAGTCCTTTGTTTCCGTATATACAACGAAAATTCACTTCCAAAAATGGAAACTCTTTACTTCACATGTACGGAAAAGGCCGAACTCATTAGGCCCATTAACTACACCAATACTAACTTTATTATGTTTTGTCTTCAGCCAATACTAACTCTATATGATCTTCTGCAAATAACACAAAACTTTATATTTTTGAATTTTCCTATGATCACATTGTTTAAAGAGTTTGCAACACATGTGCGGGTAAGAACACAAACTTATTTGTGTTTAAGGAGAAAGAAAACTACTATAACATTTGTTGGATTCGTTAAAAATAAAAGGAAATGCATGCATAAGCATAATGCATGTCATATGTGCGGGTACTTGAGAGTTTGGACTAGGCAGGCACAAACCATATACATATTTAAATTTGAACCAAGGCAATTTTCATTACCAAGTAAGGCATTTCATTACTTTTTATTTAGTCTTTATAAGTCACCTATATGTTTCTAAAGAAACTTTCAAATAATGACAAAAAAACAAAAAAATTTCAAATTATAATTTAAAAATTTCCATCAATCTTTTTTGTTTCTCCTACTTTGTGTTTAAAAAGAAATGTACGTTATTTTAGTATCTTTCAGCAGATAAGATCATTTGCAAGCTATCAGATTTTGATAAATAATACGGAAACAACTAGTGTTGTTGTGTAAGGATCTTATTATAAAAAAGAGATGATAAAATTTGTAGAACTCATCCCAACCAAAGAAAACAAAGAAAAAAATAGGTTTCCAAGAAGATAGGCAAAGATTGAACATGGAGTCAATGCGTCTCAATCCACTCACATTCCAGAAGATAATTTGGTATTTATATGTTGTTAACAATAAACCTAACTTATTTATATATATTGAACGAAATTATTGGGGTTATCAATGTCGTCATCGTCGTGAATCAAAAGGCTACTACTACTGCTACTATTTAGATTTACTATTTATATGAAACAGAGCTTTTCTTTTTCTAATAAGAAATAACAAAAAAAAAAAAAAAGAGAGATGTCTTTGTTTTTGGGTGACTTTCTTTGACTACTCTTTTGTCTCTTTTTTCACACAAAAATCAAATAACGAGACTGACACAACACACACACACAAATAAAAGTTTTTAAAAAACTCCTTCTACAAACAAAACACGTGCCTTCTCTTTCTCTCTTTTCCCATTCAAACATTTATCACAAATTACGACCAGCTTTTACCAGTTTTGCTTCTTTCTATTTTTTCTTTTTCTTTTTTTTTTTGTCATCCTTTCTATTTTTTCTTACATATATATTTTTTTTTATCAAAAATGATGAAACGAAAGTGAAGTTAATTTCGTTAAATTCAGTTTTTGTTTCTTACAATTTTTATTCGTAGAAAAGAGAACACATTCCAGTCAAAGACTTTTTTTTTTTTTTTTCATTTTCAATATGAATAGAAATAATTATGTATATGCAAATTACAAATATTTATCTAAGGAAATAGTTATTTTTGACCAAACATATATCAATAATTTTATGCCATTCGAATTATTGTATTCAAAATTCGACAGAAACTGACAAAATCAAATTTCAGTTTCATTTTCAGGAAAAAAATAAAATAGAACAGTTCTTGTCAAAATAATAGTTATGCTTTGGTCGCTGAAATCGGTAACTAAAGACAAATTGTATAATCTATTTTATTCCTCTTTGGTTATTATATTTTCAGATTTTGTTTTAAAAAGAAAAAAAAAACTTAAAACCCCAATAAAAACCAAGTTGCCAAAATAGAAGCAAAAAGAAAAATACTTATTTTGTTTTCCCTGCCTGACAAAGTTTATCCATAGGTTCATAATAATTCAAACTTAGTTTATTTGAATGGTTTTGTTGGAAAGATTCCAACGTTTATTATGTACGAAAGCAACTTCTTTTAGACCCAAAAAAATGCAACTCATAATTTTCATGCAAAAATACATTTTTAACATATTTGACGTTCAACGATGATTAATTACTAACTACAAACAAAATTAGTGTTTTAGTGTTTGCAATTTGAGATAATTATAACACAACAAACTGCAAAAATCCAACATATTCGGAAAACAATTCTTATCCCTTTTGGTTAATTTCTTTTGTTTTGTTTTGTTTAATCTCAGTTTCTTTACATCAAATCCAACAATTTCTATGTATCAACACACACCAAACAATCTGCTAATTAATTTGAAACAAATATTAATTATTCTATTTTCCTAATAAGAATTAGTTTTCTTGGTTTTGGACTTGAATTTGGATTGAAGCTTACGCTTCGAAGATGGATCACTCTGAGACTTCTTCTTCATCACAGTAAACCTCTTTCGTTTCTTCTTCGTCTTCTCTGCAGCTGCTGCTTTCATTGCCTTGGTCTCTGTTATCGTCTCAAGCTTTGGTTTCCATTTACGCAAACCAACGAGTTGAACATAATCTTTCTTTAACTTCACCGTCGTACAAACTCTACCTTCTCCTTCTCCTTCTTCTTCGTCTCCATCTTCTTGATCTTCTTGGTTTGCTCTGTTTCTTCTTCCTTCCATCATCAGCTCCGACAAGAAATCTTCAGACACGCGAATCTTTAAACGCTCTCCTTTCTCACCTTTTTGTATAAGAAAAGGCTGAGGCTGCTTCTGAGTCTTCTTCACCAGAACGCCACCGTTTTGAGGGTTTTTAAGTGTGGCGATGGTGAGGAAAGAGAGATCGTTCTTGAAGAAATCTGATGGGAGGAGGAAGTAGTTGAGACCGAGCTTCAGTGTTTCGGTTTCAGACAGAACAGGGGTCTTTTGTCCTATGTAGAGCAAGTCCGATCTACAGATTTTGTGTTTTGGGAAGTCTCTTGTGAGCTCTGAGACTACTACGGGACGATCGTATACTTCTAAAGAACCGTCGGATCTGACGAGCTTGATTCGTTGTTGGCTGTTGACGCCGGTGGTGGTTCGGTCTGGTCGGGGATGGAGACAGAGCCAACTCGAAGGAGCTCTGTGTAGCTTTACGAGTAGACTACCGAGCTTTGTGATGTTATCATGACCCATTTAATATAACTGGATTTAGGGTTTAAGCTTTAAAGGATTTAGGGTTCTTTATGTTTTCTGCTAGATGATGAAGAAGATCATGTAGAAGAAACTGTTGCAAAGGAAAGAGAGATAGATATAGAGAGTTTTGTGGTTTTAGTGTGAACAAATGAGATGAAGTTTTGGTTTGTATATATATACAGTGAGAATATTTTACATACAAAAATGGATTTAGTCCCATTTCAATCATTAATAATATTTTATAGAGTTCTCTCCATTCATTTCATTTTATCTGGTAAACAGAAAAAACCATTATACTTTAGTGAATATAACATCTTTATCATTTCACCTATTCTTTTTTTTTTTCCTGTTTTTTCACTTTAAACAATATCTTTCTCTTATTGGCTATTTGTAATATACCTTCAAATCTTACCAATATATGTTTTGGAAATTTAGCTTCTTATAGAAAATTAAATAATCATATTCTACCTATGTTTAGTAATTTTCTTACTCTTATAATAAAAATTATAGTTAAGTTTAATGTTCTTTTGATAGCTTTTTGTTTTTGTCAACTGGTTTCGGTAGTTAATATTGTATATTTGAACTTTATTTTTTTATGTGCATTAAGTAAAACATCACTTGTATTAAACAACACTACAGGTACACCAATTTATAATAGATTAATGGACATTATGTTTCATCTATGATATCATCACACATACAAGTTTTAAAAGTTAGATGGACTAGTTTTGGTCCAAGTTGAGGTGTTACATCGTGGTGCTTCAAAAGCGATTAGATTAACAATTACGAATAAAGAATAGGACTATATGTTTAAACGTGCGTGACGGCAATTTGTTAAACTCTTAATTATGATACATAAAAATATATAAAAAAAAGAGTTTAAAGAGAAAGAAGACTTAGACCGGTGGAAAAGGAAGTATGGAGTGTTCTTTTTAGACATTTCAATCTTGGTTTTAAGGTATTTTCAACTTTACTCGATTATGACATTATGTTATTTGTCTTAAGTGTAATTAAATAGCCACACATTTCTGAAAACTCTCTATAATTATTAATATCACGTACCTTTATTTGTTTCTTCTTCTCTTAAATGATACGTGATAGACCAAATCCCCTACTTAGTTGAGCAATGATCACTAATCCTGAGAACATGATATATTAATTACTATTTTTTTTTGTTTTCACGAAACGTATCACACATCCTATTCCTACCTATAAGATTAGATACGAAGAATAGTTTATAAAGTTGCAAGTCCTCTAATTGTATAAGAGAAGTTGTAGTAGCCAGCCACCACTCTAATTGGGTCTTAGATGAAAGTTTGACCGATCATCAAAAATAGTGTACGTAATTATGTTGCCTTACTTTGACTCGCTTCTTCCTTTATTTATTTTTCGTTTTGAATTTGCTAATCCCGCCCTTCTTTTCTTCTTTTTTCCTTTTCGTCTTCTTTTTCGTTTTGCATGCTTTTATGTGTGTGTGTGTGTTTTTGTTTTCTCTCTTTTATTTCGAAACCTGTAATAAACTTTTCTAGGAATAGTGTGATGATAAAACATAACTTATGTCTTGTAGACTTTGGTTCGTTAGTCCAATGTTCGGTAATGTTTCACACAAATAGACATGTTCGTCATGTTCATCGTTGTTATATGCATATCTTTTTGGTTTTCCTATAAACGTAAAGTTTTGGTCCACTAGCTAGCAAATATATTAGCATGTGCATTTCTACGGATATAATTGTCAATTGATTTCTTTTAACCGATGCAAATTAAAATTGTGATCTAATTACAAAACGGTATGCTAAATCAAGATTTTAAGGACTTCCTTGCAGGCTTCGTCTTTTATAGTTTGTCAAATAAAAATTTGAGTCACATTTTAAGTTTCGATTTTTAACTAGTTTAAATGGTACATAAATAATACATCGACTAGTAGTAGCATACGAAGGGCTAACTTGATCTCAAATTTGTTTTAACAAAAGAATCTCGATCTACAAATACTGTATATACAAACGTTAGTTTTTTCTACCTAACTCTAAAATCATGTATTTCCAACCGCACTAGAAATTAGAATCATGTTTATGCGACCGCACTACAATTCATGTATCCTCAACTATGCCCCAAAACATAATACAGAATAATAGATTTGCTTGCTTTATTTATTTGTGGTGGTGTGTTGTTTTGCGTGGAAAAATATATTGTTTAACATTAACTTAAAATTTCAGGACATAATCATTGAATAAACGCATCCAAAATGTAGATATTGCAAGACTGACTATGTTCATTTAACACAAGAAGAGTCCAAGTGCTACATCTTTAGATTTGGTAGGCAGTAAGGCCACACTTGTCATAGTTTATATGCTAACAACAACTTTAATAGGAAATTCGAACGACGTTAGCTTGTTGGTGAGCAAAAGGATAAGACGACAAGGAGAAATGGGCTTAACGTAAGTTCAAATCTTAATGACCATTCACTAACTTCTAAAGCTGGTCACTTCATAAGAATGATACAATGAATTATGCTTAAAATAGTTATATTGTATATAACTAATCCAAGTAAGAAACAATTAAAGCGATTGCACAACCCGACCATTTAGATCATGTTTACGTACTCAAAGTTACAATTGTCCAAAACACATACCAAACTTGTTTAGCTATATTTTTTCAATATACATTGAATATATATGATCTTCTGTGATGAATGGTGTTAACGAAAGAAACTCTTAATGTTCGTATCCAGCTGCTGCCTTCCACGTGACCTTGATGAGAATTGGATTCTCAAGCCTGCTTATTTTGATGTTGGGCTATTTCCTAAGGCCCATTGGATATGTTTTCGGCGGTCCAAATGCAATAGTTAATTTGTCTGTTTAGAAAATGAAGTTAGCTTGATAGGATACTTCAAGCTTGAGAAACTGAGAACTGAGATGATAATGATAAAACTCAAAAGTTTTTAGTTCTTGGTTGTATTTATATTGTAGGGTTTTCTTCTCTTACCCAATCAGCGATAACATTTGGCGACAAAAGAGAAAATAACTACATTCGGAGGTGAGCTTCTAGAATGATTTAGAATACTATCTAGCATATACTAACAATTCAGTCAGATAGTAGCATAATAGCGTTAGCATGCTGCGTGTAACAAAACAAACCATACAAAATTTACACCTAGGTTTGATTATGTGCTATATAGAAGCTCTCACACAAGACATATTCAGATAAAATAGTACAAAACTTTTTATATAAAATGAGACTTAGATTCATCCTTCACGTACAAACAAAAAAAACAACTGAATACTTTAAATCAACTTCGAAAACTCTTGTTTAGCGGAAGGCTTAAAGACATGAATCATACTACACAGTACACAGAAAACAGGACAAAGAAAATCCAAGTACCCTCAGAATCGAAGAACTTATCAACACTGAATAATCTCAGACAAGGCTGAAACTTATATATAGATATTCTCGAATCATCACTGGGAGACACATAACAACTAAACCACAATCAAACGATGCAAAGAAAAAGAGAGTTCCCTCAGAAAATTTTGGTTTTTCAACATTGTATTTTCAGACAAGGCTGAAACTAAATATAAAGGTTGTTCGATCATTGGGAACTTTCAAACCGTAAATAACTAAACCATAAACATAAACAAACAAAACAAGAACGACGAGGATCGGAACTGCACAACCCTAGTTTCTCAGAGAACATAATATACATAGATGGTTGATTGATGCTCTGCTCTTAGAAGCGGCGGCTTTTATAAAAAGACCTAGCTGGTCTCTGGGAAGTATTGATAAATAACATAAATATCCTCATACTTTTTTCTGTTTCATACATTTTGACCCTCTTTATCTACTATTTACAAAAAGTATCCAATAATTATATGTCTCTGTATTAGATGGGAAGATGTAACATTTTGATACCAATACCGTGACATTGTTGGAACCTGAATATGTAACATTTTGAAGATCCTTGTTCCTTAAGTAGAAGCGACTTCAGATAATTTCAAATTTAAATTGTATATATTGCATTATTTTCAGAGAATAATGTAATATCAAGGATGGTGGAACAAATGTGGATCTAAGTGGAACAAGATGAAAGATTTAATTGGGTGTGATTTGTATAAAAAAATAAGATGTCACATTCATATAAAAGCAATTGAACAAACGCAACGAATATGTTATAAGCAAACACCAAGAGAACACAATCTACACAATACATTGAACTGGGGTATCAAAAGACTAAAACACACTGTTCCATATAATAATGCACAATACCACTAAGATCTGCATTTACCAGTGGACTTTCAAGGACCATGTGACTGTACCGCTTCTTGAAGAGTCTTCACAGCGCTTTCATAAGTCACAAACCCCATAAACCAGAACTCGTGGTTGTCGATGGAGATCACTTGTATGTATTTCTCAGATGTGTTCACTCTGCTTGTTGATGGGTTCACTGCCTTCAGCTGGTTCACCGGAAGTACCACCTGATTATATGATATCATCAGTCACAGACTCTACAAAGAACTATGACATAAAATAGACTTTAAAATTCTCAAGGAACCACCCTAATCTCAAAATTCAAAATCTTTTTTGCTTAATACAACTAGCAATGCAGAGATCCTTTTGTCACGAAGTTTTCTGCTTGGTTGGATTGGATTTCAGCTCATGTTTGGGGTGTAACAATCCTTAAACATTACATTTGAACCAGTAAAAACTCTCAAACCAACAACTATTTGATGGCACCTCTAATTTTATCAAGAATCCTTTAAGATTAGCTTGTCTCTTAGACATACCAAGAATGTCCTAGTTGTCAACTCAGATAACAAAAAGGCACGCATCTACCTGGATGCGCAACAATATCCTTAGAAGCAGTATGTACTTTTCTATTTAGTATATATAGATGAGTCACTAAACCCACTACTCTCTGTATATAATACAATAGTTACATCATATGAATCTTTAATCTCAAAATTGTTCTCTTAGATGTAAAAAGACATCAAATTAAAGAGCTACAAAGAGAAAAGAACCATAGGATAGCCAAAATACCTTGTAATAGCTCCACCGAGTCTGCTCACCCTCTTTGTAGGTGAGAGGGTTGTCACTACAAAATGCAAGCTTGTGAGTCGAAAGATACATAACTCCCATCACAGGACCAGCAGATGTAGACAAGTAGCAAGCATAGGTCTTGCGAAGTTGCTCGTCCGGAAGGCATTCAAATGTTTGCTTGAAGACTTTTTCATATCCACCTTCTGCAATTATCTTTGTCCCCTGAGCAATTCGCGAAACAGCAGCATCGGCAACACTGGGACCTGTTTTCACTGCATAAAGAACAAAGGGATTATATACAAATTTTACTCTCAGTTCAAATAAAGCATCATCCAACCACATGTAGATAAATAATAACTGTTCACAAAAACAAGCAATAAAATCCAAAGACAGAGAACTTATGAATGAACAAATTCAGAAACTTTTGGATACTTTTTTCTAATTGATAGTGTGAGGAACTTGGATTGAACTCAAAAGGAATAGCATAACCATCACGATTTGTTGGCTAGATTTGGTGTCGCTGGTTAAACGAGAAGCAAGATTCCAGCGTTTATAAGGAAGAAGCATAGATTGATGAACACTAACTTAACCAGAAGACATAAGTAACCAATACTATTGTAATCTCCAATAGAGAGTAAACAGATTAATTCTCAATTCATCTGATCAAAGGGGAAGAAGAAGAAGAAGCTTACAGTGCTGCCAAACGTTTCCGGCGAGATCCTCAGCCTTCTTAGTAGCGTCGGCAGCCATCTTCCCCCATTTCCCTAGCGCATCCTTAACCGAATCCATCGTATCTGCCACCAAACCAAGATCAATCAATAAAAAATAAATCAGATTAGCATGCGAAATCGGATAGAGAAGAAGACAAAGAAGAACTCACTCCTGGGAACAGGTGCAGGAGAAACGTAAGGATTGGACTCCGGTGGCATGGTGGTAGCGGCGGGGATCGGCTGAGAAGGAGGAGGAGGAGTTACGTCGGTAGTGTCGAGCTTAGGGTACGGAGCGTACTCTGATGAGTGAGAAGGCGCCGTCGCGGCGGGGGGAGTAGAAGAGATCCGGCCAGCATCGTGATTCTCTTGTCCACTCATGATTTTTGATTTTCTTCTTCTTCGCGATGCTTCTTCTTTCGAAATGAGAAATTTTAATTTCGCAGCGTAGGTAACAATAAAAATCAACAATAATTGAATTTTAAATTTGTCGTTATTAGTCGTTGATTTGATCGTATAATAATGTTTTTTTAGTCAAAGTCGGTTCAACGTATATCGTGCGGTCTACGATTTTAGTTGATTCAATTACCACCACAAATATAATTACTGCCTATATTTTTTATGTTTACCGTATTGCTGAATAAAATTACATAAACTCATTTCGAATCTTCTGAATGAGTTAGAGACTTTTGACAAAATGTGCAGAAGAAGCAAAAAAGATTTAACAAACGTCTCTGCTGGGGTCTTCTTCTTCTTCCTGGCATAAGCGTAGGGTTTAACACCTCTCCCTATACACAAAACCTCTCCGCTTCTGCATTTAATTCATCCACAGAGTCATGCAAAGATTCAACTGGGTTTGTTTCCTTTCAACCTCTCTCAAGTTTTGGATTTTGAATCGATTCTCCGAGAGAGAGAGAGCTTAAATATTTTGTTTGATCCTTTCTTCGTAGGTTCTGCGGCATTTACAGGCACGAAGAACATTTGATTCCGCGTTGGGATTTCGACAAGGTAATTGATAAAGTTAATTGAATAAGGGATGATTGTTTTAGTCGGAGATCATGATTTTTGTTTAGTAATTGTTTTCAAGAGAATCAAAAAATTGACATCCATGTGCCTTATCTGAGCTGGTTAAGGTGTATATGCAACACGACAACGGCAATGTCAGTATTTTGGTATATTAGAATTCCAATGTAGTGATTAGTTTAGCTGAAATGGGGTTTTAGGGTTTGCCAGGAAGGGGGATCAAAGTATTGGGCACTATCAAAGGTGGGTTGAATTAGAGAGAATTCTTCTATAGGCACTCGGGATGCTTATTTCCTTCTGATAACGCTGAGGATGTAGTGGTACTTAACATTAGAGAATTTCCAATTGATGTTTGTCTTCTATAGGAATATACGCTTACAATACTTGGAATTCTTGACACTTTGCAGGGTTTCAGAAGCCGTTGTTCGAGCGTTACATTCACGCTACAGGTCCTTGTTTTTCGCCTTTACTTTTACTTGATGGAGACAGTGTGTTTTGTTATCGTTTTATTCATTAAATGCTTTTGGTTTTGGATTATGATTTTCTCAGGAACATCCTGCTCTAGTGCTCGTAATTACTATGATGTTCTCGGTGTTTCTCCAAAAGCTACCCGTGAGGAGATTAAAAAGTCATTCCATGAGGTGAGTCAATAGGTCCGTTGTTAGTAAAACTGTCCTTCAATTTTACACCAAACAAAAACTATAAGTAAAATTGTCAGCTCAAATTTATGAGTGAATGTACAACTTTGCAGCTTGCAAAAAAATTCCACCCTGATACAAATAGAAATAATCCTTCAGCAAAAAGAAAATTCCAGGAAATAAGAGAAGCATATGAGGTATTTTTTTTCCACCCATCAGATCCTCCCCATTTAAAACCATCTTTGTAATTTGAATGTAACTTCTGATGTACTTTTGTGTTCGATTGACAAACTTAGACCCTGGGAAATTCGGAAAGAAGAGAAGCATATGATAAGGTACGCTTGTGTTGTTGTTACTTATCTGGTGGTGAGATCACTAAATAAATTGCTTTCTGTTATCACACTACACAGCTGCGCTATCGGAGTTCAGATTATGTAAATAATGATGGTGGTGATGCAGAGAGATTCAGACGTGCCTACCAATCCAATTTCTCGGATTCGTTCCACAAGATTTTTTCTGAAGTATAAAAATTTGTTTCCAATTTTGTCTCATATGTTTTTGTGACCGCTGACTAGTCACATCTCTAACATTGTACACTTGATTCAGATATTTGAGAATGATCAGATTCAACCTGATATTCGGGTCAGTTTCTCTGATTCTCTCTTTAATCTATACAATTGGAAGCTGGTTGACATATGTAAATCTTGTAGTGTAGGACTCTTCACTAATACACATGCTTATCTGCCTTATCTTGTTCAAACTTGAATAGGTGGAACTGTCGCTTTCTTTTTCGGAAGCTGCAAAAGGGTGCACCAAACGTTTGTCTTTTGATGCATATGTCTTTTGTGATTCCTGTGGTGAGTATCCCCAGAATTTTCAGATATCATCTCTTTTGCATTTACTAATATTGAAAAGCCAGTCATGGTGCACACGACATCCTGTAAAGATACTTGAGAGTATAGACACTTTAGCTGAGGAGTCCTAACTCGTCATTGTACATTATTATTCAGTTGCTCAAAATGGTAAAATAAAATTCTACTTAAAGTTTTTATTTACAGTTTTAAAATAAAATAGAATTCTAATTACAGTGTGATCAATCAATGTAAATGTAAATGTAATGTAGAGATTTTGCCTCGCTTTTTTAATCCTTTCTATTTTCTTGTAACGTTTACAACTTTTTTTCTTTGAAAATTTGCTGATTTAGCCAATTTAGAGAAGACGAATGACTTACTTGGGTGACAGTAATATTGTTGCAAACCCATGACTCCCAATCTCTCATCATTTATTATTTTACAGATGGCCTTGGCTACCCTCGTGATGCTGCCATGGGAGTTTGTCCAACATGCAAGGGAGCTGGACGAGTAAGTCCCAACTAGAGGATAAAGTCTATTTGTTTTTTTTGGAGGTTTAATAAATTATACAATTTCTATTTACAGTACTATGCTATCTGTCTCTTTAACAGGTAACAATTCCTCCTTTTACAGCATCATGCCAGACGTGCAAGGGATTGGGACATATTGTTAAGGTCTGAGAAAAGAGGTCTTTTATTGATACTTCAATTATCTCTCCATCACTGGTTACAAATATATTTATTGTCTCTACAGGAGTACTGCATGTCTTGTAGAGGATCCGGTGTTGTGGAAGCCACAAAGACTGTTGAACTTGTGATCCCTGGAGGTTAGTTTTAAATTTTCATGCTTTCTATCTTTAACTTGTTTTTTTATTGTAAAACATGTCACTCTGCTATGGAATGAGTGGCAAGATTTTATTCACACTGTTTATGTTCCTTTCTCTGAGTATTTGTGTAGTTAAGATGATATTGGTCACACTTATTGTATGGCTGGCTTGTCTTTATATTATGCGTGGCAATGTGCATTTCCTGGTTAAATGTATTTTAGCTGCACTTGGTGTTTGTAGCAGTAAAGAATTTAGAACTGTGATTTCGGAGTATAATACATGACTTTGCTGGACCATATAATGAAAATTTGGTTTTTGATGGCATGAATCTGTCAATCTTTAATTTGCTTTGTTGTTTCTGTATTTGATCATAGGGGTGGAGCCTGAAGCTACGATCCCAATCCAAGGTGCTGGTAATGTAAGATCAAGAACAACTCAACCTGGGAACTTGTATATCAAACTAAAGGTGTGTTAAAAGCATCTTTATTTTCCTCATTAATCTTACTTGTATAACATTTCTGAAAGGTGCTTAGAGAAGTTTAAATCGAACCCACCTTGACTTTGATCTACGATATGAGTCTCATTGATCAATTCAGCCTAAGAAATAAGACAGTTGATGCAAGCGTCAAAGTCATGTTATAAGTCACACATTGACTTTAAATAAATTCATTCCAAAAATAATCTACACCATTGTTCGCAGATTTACCTGTGTTGGCTACTCTATCCTGTTTAGTGTCTCCAGTTGTCACTATATCATCAAGACTTTTTACATCCAGTGAATAGATTGTTTATGCTATTTAAGGTTCTTTAGTAGTATTAGACTTTATCATCGTCCTTGCCCATTTAGAGTCTTACTGCATGTGGCATTTTCCTTTGATGACAAGTATCTAATCTTCTTCTGTTCACAGGTTGCCAATGATTCAGTTTTCTCAAGGGATGGGTCAGATATATATGTGGATGCTAATATTAGCTTTACACAAGTAAGCACACCTGAATTTTGGGTTATAAACTGAGCAGTACATTCCAAACATATGTTTTCCTTTCATGGTGACACTCTGTGGTCAAAAGCCTTAACAACTAAGCTGATAAAGCTCTGTGGTACCATAATTTAGTAAAAGTTGTCTGCAGTCTAGCTGAAATCAGTGAGTTTTGTTCTATTCAACTGATTTATATGCCAAAAGTTAAGTGGCATCTATATCATTATGATAGGATGCTCTTGTCCTATAGCTATATAATGTGGTATATCTGTTCCAACTCAGTTTGATGGCACCCAGTCATAAAACTCAAGTGCATGCTGCTGCAGTATGTTGTCCCCAAGCCATAGAACCTTGGCTGAAGTATTTTTCTTATAAAGTGCATCCTTTCATGTCTTATGGTTTACGTTGTTTCTATTTTTGCTTCCTTGAGCCATACTGGACATGTCTTAGAAAACTTACTTGACAGGCCATTTTGGGAGGCAAAGTTGTCGTGCCAACGCTTTCAGGAAAGATACAGCTAAATGTAAGATTCCAGTAAGATTGATATAATATTGTGTCTGTTTACAATTTGGCAATTGAGTATACAAGTTACCAAGAGGAAAATTTAGATCTCAAGCCTTTGGAGATAATAGAGGTGCCATATTGTAATTGTTGCAGATACCAGAGGGGACTCAGCCTGGTCAACTTTTTGTTTTAAGAGGCAAAGGTAAAATCATTATCAGGCTATATGGTCAAATTTTTTTTTTTCTTTTTTTTTTTTGTATATTTGCTCGAACTCTTTTTAATAGGTTAGTTTGTACAGGACTACCGAAACAAGGCTTTTTTGTAGACCATGGAGATCAGTATGTCCGTTTCCGAGTTAACTTTCCTACGTAAGATTTCTTCTACTTGGAGTTCAAATTATAAATTTGTTGGAGACACCCACATTATGCTAAAAACTCTACTTATTTTTGGAATAAACAAGCACTTTGTTGCCCTCAAAGTTGATGTTTTCGAATTAGTTTCCCTGGTATCTTCTTTTATATTACCTGCTGTCTCTTACTTTACATCCGATTATAGAAATTCATGTTGATATGATCAGCAACTTGGTATTCTGGTGGCATGTGAGTTTGTTTGGATTCTCTTCTTGTCATTTCCGTGAAGAATGAATCTATATTAAGTGTTTGATTTTTGGAATCATCATATAACAAGTTCGCTGATGTTGATAGATTTCTGGTATATGCTAATGCGGTGTACGTTTTTCCTTGTATTCTCTAGTGAAGTGAATGAACGCCAGCGTACTATACTGGAAGAGTTTGCAAAGGAAGAAATCAACAACGAGTTGAGTGGTTCTGCTGAAGGAAGTTGGTGAGTAAATTTTATTTTTACAATTGTATTTATAACAGCATAATGTGGGTAATATCTGATGGTTAGACCTAAATGGATATATCTGGTATAATTTACCTCAGAGGAATGTAGTTGATTACAATAGAAGAATTAGTTGTGCTTGTACTTTACTCGTCGTTTTCTAGGATTGCTAGAAATAAGAGTTAAAAAACCAGATATATTTAGATAACACACAGTTAAAAAATGAGATGAATAGGTTCTCTTATAAACATGTAGAATAATACTATAGACCTGTTCTTGTATTTTTGATACATTAAGTTTCAAATAGCTTGAAGCTAGCTCTAGGGGAAACAGTATCCGGGAAATAACATTAGAAAAAGCTAAAAGATCTGTTGGGGCTTTTGCTTTTACAAATTGATTCAACTGAATGTTATCTCCTCTCACTAGTGATTGTTCCTTATAGTAATGAAGAATCATGAAAATGAATCAAACAGGATTTACCAGAAGCTCTCTACTGGTTGAACTTACAGGTGGAATCGAACGGGTCCTCAGATCATACGCGACTTCTCGTTAATCATGCTGCTGGTGCTATTGTTCAACAAGTTAATGGGATGAAACCACCACGAGAGATGAAAGATAAAAGAAGAAGCATTCAGCAGAAGACAGACACAAGTGAAATTTCATCTAGAAAAACGAACAGGTCAACAGCATAACAGAAAGGGCAAGGGTCATGATTTGACTTCATATTCTATCACAAACTCATTTGATGTGAATAATAAGAGACATCAACAAGTAAAGCTTAAAAGAAAAAGAAAAAAACTCCTCGAGAGTTGTGTTTTTGGCATAGTTCCACAAGTTGTAAACATCCTCTAATCTAACTACAGGGCTTATAAATGCGTGTTACGATATCTTAAAGAAAACTCTATGATCCATTTAGTTTTAACACTCGCTTATGGTTCTAGGCATAGAAGACAGTTCTGGCTCCTGACTCTCCTCCTGCTGAATTCTCTTTTTTTCCTTGGCAGACTTGATCTCACCATAAAAGTAAGAGACAAACCCCCAAAGGGAAAGAGCAAGAGAGAGTCCCTTCTCTGCTTGAAACTTTTCATGGTAGAAAATGACAGCTAAAACCTCTGTGATGGGCAAAAGAACTGATATCATAATACCCGAGACAAGAGAAGATGTGCAGAAGATTAATCCAATGGCTCCCAAGAAGAAGCCTTGCCAAATAATGGCTGAAAACACAGCCACCACATAGAACACTGCCTCCCCCAGCTTGAACTCTTTTGCTTCTTTTGGTAGTGCCTGCAAAAATAACAAAACAAAAAAGATAAGGGTTCAAGTCAAACCATCTCGTGTTAAAACTCTTTTGCAGGTTTAAGATTCAAAAGACTGTGACTAACCTTGAAATCACCAGCGATGGACATACCAATGAGGCTGACAATAGAAGCAAGGAAGCACAAAACCATCTGGACCTCGAGCACGAGCGTATAGCTCATTGGTTGCTTAGCTTTCTGGTAAGCAAGTTCCACTAATGGCAAGATCAAAGAATACATAACAGCTGCTGCCACAGTCATCAAGAACCCAGTAACGTATTGCTTGCGAGTCTCATGAGCGGGCTTATCAGTTTCGGTATGCATTCCCAAAACCGCAGCTCCAACAGTCAACAACACAACAGCATTAATGGTAAAAGGAGTGAACTTGTGTTTAACCATGAAGAATGAGAAGATAGCTATGAAAGCTAACTGAGAAGCAATAATGAGAGCAGCAGTTGAAACTGGGAGATAAGCTATACCATATGCATACAAGTAATTATCAAAGCCAGAGAGAATGCCTATGAAAATAGCCGCGCCAAGAAGACGCGGCTTGATAAGAAAGAAACTTGTAGGTTCGCTTCCATTGTTGTTTCTGCGCCGGTGAATGTAAGAGAAGAGCAAAGGGATGAAGATGACCGGAAAGCCCGCAGTTTCAAGGAAAGTAGAGAACCAAATCCTTTGGCCACCATTGTTGAAGTAGAGACGCATAATCAGAGGACCTCCACAGTTTCCTATGGCTAGGATTATGCAGGTTATGATCACAAGAGCCTTCACCATTTCTTGTTTTGGTTTCTTTCTAAAAAAAATATGGAAATGGATGTTTTGTGATTTCTTGAGAGAGGTAACGAAAACTTTTGGGGGTTGGTGCAAGCTAGCTAGGAGGAGTTAGTAGTTATCCGGGTTGGTGTTACTGTCTGGTTAGGTTCTGTCTTGAGATCTTTGTGTTTGTCCGACCTAGAGAGCCAGACTCTAATGGCTATTTTATGCCCACAAATTTAGCTAACAGTTTTTATTTCGTATTAAAAAACCGTAGTAATTATTATCTCATAGACCGGATAATAATAATATCCATATCCATATTCCCATACTCTTTGAGTATTTTTAATTTACGTTTCAACTAATTCTACGGTTTTTTTTTCCTTTTTTTTACTGGATTTATTTCTTTCTATATTTAGTGTCATGACATTTAATTTTTTCAGTTCTATAATTGGAAGGTTTAATTGAGAGTTTATTGGTTCTTTGACTTTTTTTCCTTTCTTGTTTGTAATCGTTATTTTGATTTTAAATAGCATAATTTCCTTACCAAAAATTAAGAAAAAATATACGAAATTTATTCTTAAAGGTTAAAATTTGTATTGAATATAATTTGATATCTACATGTTGTGATTAATGCTAATTAAGTATCTTCTCAACGTTTATCCAATTGTTTTATAAAAAAAATTACGAGATACAACATTATCATATAGACTTCTCCCACTCTAGAATTTTAACTTTTTCTTTTGTCACATGACTTTATCATTCTATCTTACGGGTTATGATACGACACGTCTATCAAAACTGTTCGTTTATTACATATCTATAAAGTTTATTTATACATATACATTTACACTATAGAGTATATATAGACCATTTAATTATACACAAAGAACAATAACAAAATACTAAATAACTCATGCTATTAAAAAAAACAAAACAACACAGTTACTGAAGACATTTAAGCAGCAAAATCACGAACTGGAAGAGTAGGGAGCTCTGTCTCCGGCTGCTGAGGTTTGTCGACAACAACTTTCTTGCCGGATTTGAACTCGCCGTAGAAGTAAGAGACGAATCCCCACATAGAGAGGAAGAGAGAGACACCTTTCTCAGCTTGAAACTTCTCCCGGAAACAAACGACAGCTAAAACCTCTGTAACCGGAAGCAGAACACTTATGAGAACACCTGAAGCTAGAGACGATGCACAGAACACAACCCCTATGGCTCCTAAGGAGAAGCCTTGCATTATTATCCCTGTGATCACTATCAATGCATAGTAAAACACAGGTCCTCCGATCTTGAACTCTCTTGCTTCTTTTGCTATCACCTTCAAAAACATATATATATTGTATAGTAATGATTTCAGTTGATCATATACTGATTATTGATATTTATATAGAAATGGGGACTTCTTGAAATATCCAAAGCAATAAATATGATTGAAACTACACGTTGTTAAAACAATTACTAGTTTATTGAAATACAAGATAAGGTTTGAAAAATCTATAGATATTATTGCTTCAAGAAAAGTCAAGATCCATCCAATGATACCCTTATACTAAAAAAGATACCATGAAAAGTGTTATTACCTTAAAATCTCCAACGATGAACATGCCAACAACACAAAAGCCCGTAGCAGCTAGGCACATAACCATTTGAATCTCGAGCACAAGTTGGAAAGTGATCTCTTGTCGAGCTTTCTTGTAAGTGAGCTCAACGAGCGGCAATATGAAAGCATACAGAACAGCTGCGATCAGAGTCATCAAGAACCCAATCACATACTCTCTGTGGCTTTCGTTAGCCGGCTTGTCTCCATCGCTGTGCAACGCAAGGATTCCAGTACCAACAGTCAACAAAACGACAGCGTTTATAGAGAAGGGAGTGAACTTTTGCTTGACCAACAAGAAAGAAAAGAGAGCATTGAAAGCTAACTGAGTTCCGACTATTAGGGATGAAGTGGAAACTGGGAGATACGCTAATCCGTAAGAGTATAAGTAGTTGTCAAGTCCTGAGAGCAGCCCTATGACAATTGAGGCTACGAACAGAGGAGTTTCCATTAAGAAAAGCTCTGTTTTTGCTGCGTTTGCTACGTTCTTGCGGTTGCAGCGGCGACGGTTGAGGAAGGAGACGAAGAGAGGGATGAGAATGATTGGAAAACCAGCGGTTGATAGGAAGCTCATGAACCAGATTCGTTTGCCACCATTGTTGTAGTAGAGACGAGTTAACAAAGGACCTCCACATGTTCCTATAGCGAGGATAATACAGTTTATGATTAACAGACCATACTTCATTATTCTCTTCTTCTTTCTTGATGTTTCTTGTGTCCTTTGTAGTAGAGTATTTGGTGATATCTAATCATTAGCTCAAGAGGGTCAATGCCGCAATTATGTGTTTTTTTTGTTTTTTTTGTTTGTTTGTGGTTTTGAATCGTGTGATACAAATGGAAGTTGGGAACGGTGGGACATCACGTAGCGGTCGCGTTTGCGATTCCAAATCGCTGCACTAACTAGGGTTTTAATTTCCAACTAAGGATGGTCCTTAAAAAAAGAAGAGACGTGTGAGTTTTTGCTCTACACACATTATGTATGACAAAACAAAGAGTTGACTTGAATTGTCGAAACATACAAATCTTTTGTATTATGTGTTACATTAAAGAGAAATATCGTTTTGTGTATACTTGGTGTTATGATATTTTATTTTGTTGTAAGAAACTAGCTAGAAAGAAAGTAAACTTGATTACAGATTTGTATTTAGGATCCATTTGCTTCTATTATGAAAAAGTTAAATCAGTCAATCAATTTAACCATACTTTTAGTACATAGGATGCTGACTTAAGTGTAATAGATGGAATTTTGTTACATTTCCTCTGTATAGAAAACAAACATAAAAGTTTCAGAAATAGCCATTTGATGGGAGTAGCTATAGTTACTTTCTCATGCATGATTGACGTATAAGTTAGTACAACATTAAGACCAATAGTCAAAATTGGTGTTGAGTTAGTTCTCATCATAAGCCAAATAAAAAGTTAACTTATGAATCAACAACAATGAGTCTGAGATAAACATTCTACGACGACTTCAAATTGATTTTGACCCTATGTAGTATGTACTGTTACTATGAGTCGCATGTAATCCATGTATAGCAAAATAGAATTATATCATTTATAAACGAAAAATAAAAAACAATTGATCGTTCATTATTGATTACAAACAGGTCCAACACGTTGATATCTCTTTATGAGAGAACATATATATAATCATGTGGCCTAGAAAAGAAAGATTCTAATGATTCTAATGAATTGACCATAAATAGTGGTAGACAGACATATGTATGCAAGCATATACCATAAATTTCAAGATCGTTCTGTAGGGCAGAGATAATTGGTGCAGCATACGCACATGCTTCCCATGACCATAACGTTAGCTGTAAAATTTGCATACAAATTTATAAAGTTTTTGTATATTTAATTTTGACGTATACAAATATTTAAGGGTATGGTCATTTTATCATTACACTGGAGTCATAGAACAACGTTTGGCTTAAACGTTTGTGTCGGGTTTACCCCAAAGAGCATCTCCACCAACTTTTCACTAAAAAGTAAAAACCAAATTCGGATGAGTCAGTCTTAAGGATATATGTATATAGATTTATCTTTCTTCAAAATTTCAAAACTATAATTTATTATCCAAGTACAAAATGTTCGTGTATATATATATACATTAAAAAATTGATTTTGAATCCTTAGAATCAAATAGAGAAACAAAAAAATAAAAATAAACATACTGTGTGGGTAAAATTGGAACGTGTGTGGGTTTGGTGATGACCAAGAAGAAGGAGAAACCCCCCAGCTCCTCATTATGCTGAATCTGGTAATCTTACAGGCAAGTTAGCTTTCCTATGACCCCTTTGACCAGACCTTCTGTCTCTTCCACGTCTTCTAGGCGGTGTTGTGCTTACCCTTCCACTTGACATTTTTCTAGGCAAATCGCTGCTGATTAATGCCGGTGGAGGCGGTGAAGGCGGTGGAGGAGGAAACTTAGGCACCGGAGGTCGTTGCCTTGCAAATCTTTCTTGTTCTGCCCGATGATATCTCTGCATTCGAGATTCCGAGACAAACCATGTAATGATAAAGTCAGGCTTTTTATACTACCTTTTCTTTACAACTAAGTCAACATGAGATGAAGAATCACCTGAACTACAAAATTGCGTCTTTCGCAGTCGAGGAACATGCTTACTGTCCAGTTTGTTTTTGCTGCAATCTTATCTCTTACTGTTGAGAAACTGATTTGATCTCTGGACGTGAATCGGTCAACTTCGTTAAACCAAAGGCAAGTAAAGAGGTTGCTGATGGGAACATGCTCTCTTAATATGACACAGCCCTCTGGTACGTCTGCATAGCCCAACCATATAGTTGTGTATATAATAAGTCTTTGATCCCGAAAAAGAGAATTTTAGAAAGGATAAGCTAAAGAGACATACCGCTAGTGATTGGCAATTTCGCCACAGAATAAGGGGTTAACCCTTCATTCTTGTAGAAATCCACCTGAAAGTCGATAGAAGCATTATCATATTTACCAGCAGCTTTATTTGCTTCGGCTTCCACTAAGACGTCAAATCGTTTGTAATGTCTAGAGATTGCAAAAGTAGCATTTTTCCTCCACAAGAACCTGATGAGAAGAGATGTCAGGTAAATTGCACCAGAAACTACTTACCAAGCCTAAGGCCTTCTAAACGCAAACCGTGAACTTATTTGAAACAGTTGATTTTTATTACATTACTGTAATGTTAAGCACAGAACGCTAGCTGGTTAAGGAAACTTGTCTGAAAGAAACAAGGGGTGGAACTAGCAGATTCCTACCACAAGAATTAACTAATATTATTAAAGGAATTCTGTACTTCTGTCACTGCAGTAAGCTACATACACAACCACAATTAAAAATGGTTGCAATGGAATATGGGGAACACTACATACACCATATCAGATATCCTGGGATTTATCTTATTTGAGAAAAATATGATAGGCCTCACCTTTCAAGAATTTGATATGGATCAACAACAAGCTCAAGTTTTCCGTCAATCCATAAAGAATAGCGAGCATTTGGAAACATTCTATGGACAAGAAGCTTGGGAACCTGCAAAGAACGAGGCATCAGCATAATCTAAGCAAAAGGATACTGTTACAGCAGTGTGGGTACAATACTTTTGGAGAAAGATTGTCATATAAAGGGAAATATTTAGCATGCCAATAAGTTCATGTTTTAGTTTGGAGTAACTAAATGCATACTTTCGTCCATAAACTTTCTTATTGAAAAGATAAGAGAGATGTAGTTACCTTTCCATTGCGTCTTCCATCTGAATAAGGGAGATTATGCACAACAACAACTCTCCATATCCCTACTTTCTTGTTTCCGTCAAGGCCTCGTTCTTTCTTCAAAATTAATTCAGTTTCTTCATCGACAAACATGTAGAAGCAAACTGTTTGCTCTGAATATTTACTGATATTTTGTGGGGCTTTTACATCATCAAAAGCATCTAAAGAAATGGAAAGATTCTAACATTAGAAACATGCAAAAAATGGCACAAAGACTGAATATATAAAATAGAAAAGGATCATGCAAACACTACCAAATACTGCTGAAGCAACAACTATCCCACGACATTGCTTCATATCAAGAAGATCTGCCTCATCAATGTCAAATCCTGTATTTCGACCAGGTTGAGGTCCTTTGACAAACCTGATTAAACAATCATGGATAAAAACAGAAATATACTAAGATGAGACAGAAAAAGGACCAGGGAATTACAAAATCATCACAAAGATACTTACCCACAGTGTACGCTCATTGTTTCTTTAATGTCAAAAGAATCATTCCTATGTCTCAAAGTAGGATAACCACCAAAATCTGACCCTCCAAACTCTGTCTCTCTGTTTAGTGGTTCTTCATATATATACGTTAAGTTCTTAAGAACTGGGGAAAATGACGGGGCATTTGGCATAAAGGCAACTGCTTCTTCTACTGGGAGGTAACATACTGGGCATGCTGAAATCAAAACCAGGCAGAACAACCCAATACTGCTTACAAAACGACTCTACCACAGTAAATCTCAGATCTTAATCATCACAACAACAATATTGTAGTGATCTCGGAAAAAAAAAAACAAATTGGAAAGAGACCAGAAATCAAGAGTAAATATCTTACGGCGTGGTCCTGTTCTTTTTCTGTCTGCTGGTGGTGGAGGTAAGGTGAAACTGTTACAAGGATGTCCTTGAGGAAGCGAATAGCCAAGAAAATACACAGGAGGAGGAGGGAACACTATAACATCTTTTGCCTTGATCGATATATTTCCAACATTCATGTTTTGCTCATCATTTACTTGTAACATGCTAGAATAATTTACGCCTGAAGTGCCATTGAAATGAAGACTCGGAGGACCTTGAACTTCCTGACCATCTTCACCTTAATTACAAAAGCAAAAGAACAGTTACAATCAATTTCAAGTCCATTGTTCATAGACTTCAAATCAAAATCCCACCAGTACCGTTCTCTAGCTCTTAAATAGATTCTTAGAAGTAAATTCTAGCTCCAAGTAGCATACAATTCACCTTCTCAGTCATGAATTGAATTACATTCCAACATCTTAGCCTAACGATCACCACTCTAGACAACCTTTGGCTCCACAATTCTAAAGCCAAAACAAATACATTGATCCAAACTATACTAAAATCGTTCAGCCGAAGCAAATATGAATCAAAGCTAACCCAACTTAGGAACTAAATCCACAACATCAACAACCCAAAATGGTCGGAAATAAAAGAGAAAATGGATAACCTTTGCCAACGTAAAGGACGCGAAGGAAGACGACGGCGGAGATTAAGAAGAGAAGCAACATGCCGACCTTTTTACGACCAACGAATTTGCAGATCCAATGTACAATCCCTTCCCTCTCTTTCTGCATCTTAGATGGTTTTGTACGCGTCGTCGTAATAGTGGTCTGGATGGGCAAAACGACGCCGTTAAGTCCCGTCTTCTCCAAGGAACCATAGCTACTGGATCGAACGCCCAATCCAGTCATCGTTCCCCCCACTTGAAAATCGCCACCCTCAAATCATCACTCCATCAAACTCAAAAATCCGATGCTTCCACTCAAATTCAGATCAAAAAGTTTAAAGCTTTTGGGTTCTTCTGATCTATACACGATTTGCTGAACAAAATTTGTTCAATTCGATTTCTGGGTTCTGATCTACAAACAATTCAGCTCGAATCACAAAGAATCAAAGAATTGGGGAATCACAAGGAAAGAGACACAGATCAAAGAGAAGAAGAAGAAGAAAAAAATTTGAAAAATTTGAGAAACAAAATCTAGGGTTTGTGATTGGAAGATAGGGTTTTGATTCCTTAAGAATTTTTGTTCACAAGGAATCTCTCACAAAAAGCACCATTAAACCAAAAAAAAAAAAGTCACTCTCTTCTCTTCGTCTCTCGCCTTCTCTTAAACAAAACAAAAGAAAACTACTGTCAAAATTGACGAAATTAATACTCTCCCAAAAATTATTCCGCGTTAAACAAAAAGGCAAATTTTGATAAATCCTTTATATCCAATTTTTGTCTATTTCTATTTTATTTTATTTTGTCTTTGTCTTTTTTTTTTTTTTAATATCATCTTTTTAGTATTTTCATTTTAATGTAAATAAAAAAAGATTGTCTTTTTAGTTTTTATTATGTATAAAACTATGGGTCAAATCTAAAATTTAAGCACGTTGATCAATTTTCTTATAAATGATATAGTTAATCACTTATTAATCTCTTTGTTTTCTATGATTTTTTTTTATAAATAAAGTTATCTTGTACTGTCGAAATGGGACAGATGGCGAGATGTTACTGATGGGCGGGGAAACTTTTATTATTGACATCTTGTACTAAAAAAATAAGAGGGCTAATTATTATTGTCCAAACACTAATTGTGTAAGTATATCATCATTATAGAGTTTGGGACAACTAAGATTTTATTTTTATTTTTATAAAAAATAAATAAATAAATGAAACGAATAAACATTTGTTTAATAATCACTACTACTACCTAGCAGCCACTCATGAATCCTGTCATTCATTATTATTAGTCGTATCTGTCGCTCTTTTCTTTATTTTTTATTTTATGTTTTTGGTTTGATACATTCGATTCATCATTAATCTAGTTTAATTTAAATATGCTCTTGACACAATTGATACATTTAATTTTGTTTTAAAATATATGGAAATTCTTTTTTTATATGAATGGACATGCAGATGTTTGGTTATAAAAGGTTAACATGTTCTTTGAAAATTATGAAGTCACAACTCGAATTTTTCTTACATTTTGCTTATTACGTTGCTATTTCGTAGTCTCATACTATACGTTCAAGGTGTTGGTAAGTGTCTCATACCATAAGTTTTCAACCAACAACCACCATTTCTGTCTTATAAATTTTGATTAGTACTTAAATTATGCATCAAATAAAGATATGTTTGTAACTGGAAATATGTTTTGTGTAGTCATGTTAATGGGTTAAAACGATCCTAATTGCAGAAACTAGGTAGAAAACTTAAAATTTTGCTAAAACATTAGTTTTTCGCAAGATTGCAATATCTAGCTAAAGGTCATTAAAAGTATCTTGTTACTTTTGAACAAAGTCTCACTCTTATATTAGATAAAATACTTACTTTTAGCTTTGGTTATCCTGAATTTTTGGTTTGGCCATCGTTGTTGCTGTCACCTAATTGCATTTGTCACCAGAAGAATCAATGGAGATATTTTTCCTTTATACATATATTAAAATGAATGTTATAAAAAGAATTTCGAATTGGTTATAGAATAGCAAAAGTTTCCACAAATGTATAGGCCAAAACCAAGTATCACGTTTTGATTTTCCTACTCTTCCAAAACATTATGATCATTGCTTCAAAGCAATTTGCTTTTACTTGTAGTTTTAACACGTTATGATGAAGATTTTGTTAATAAGAACATGTTTTAATGTGACGTCTAGCTTACTCTGATCTGTATTTGTTTGATTAACTATGTCGTAAAAGTCAATGGTCAACAGTCAATGTTTGTAAACATAGGATTGAAATCAAACCAATTATGATTAATCAATTTACAATAACCGGAATAAGCCGGTTTTTACAATTTCGGTTTAAGTTGATCGTTTCCTCGGAATTGAAAAAAAAAAAACAGATTCGTCGCTGAACTCTCTGTGAAGAAGAAAGATGGAGAAGAAGGAGGAGAAGAAATCTCAGATTTCGTCAACGGAAGCTGTTCTTCTCGGAGCTTTAGCTCCAGGCGTTAATGTCAGCACGATGATCTCTCTTAACTGCTTTGTGTGATATGTGCTTTGTTAAAACCCTAAATTGGATTGTAAAATTTCAAACAGGGTCCAACATGGAACACTCTGAGATTCGCGTTTCTACTACTGGGTCTTTGTCTAGCTTTCATGCTCTCTGTAGCTTTCACCAGTGGCCAATCTATGTTGCTTGTTCATGTTGGCTTTCTTATTATCATCGCCGCTTCTCTCTTTATCCTTCTCAATTGGTATGTCAAATTTTGCTTCTCTTTTAACTCACTTTTGTATAGGCTTATTAAATGTTTCGTCTTAGATCTGATTCCTGAAACTTTCTCAAGTGTCTTATTGTCGTTGCTGATCAATCCTTGAGTTCTTTTGTTTAAGGATTCGAATATATTTCTCTGCATTGCTGTTAGCTAGGAGCTGATAGGTGTTCCTGGTTCTAATGTGTAAATTGAGTTAGATATCAGATAAGGGTTATCACTATCAGTTATCTAGTTTTGTATATTTCTTCAAAAAATATCTCATCTTTGTGTTTTTTACTTGAAGTCTCTGTGACCCGTTTAAGGCTTCTAAAGATTCGGAAGGTTTTTACTTTGAATAAGATTATGGAAAAAGATGAAATGTTACTGTAAATATGCATCCTGAAGAGCATACAAATTTCAAAAGTTGCTTATGGTGCCTTTGTTCTGCAGGTTTCTTGATCAGACAGGCTTAGTACAAGTGGAGACACAAATGAAGGAGCTGAATTTGCTACCTAATGATAAAACTGAATGATCATGCACACACTGGTAGAGGCAGAGACATGTGTGATAGAACATTTAACAACAGATATATCAAGCAAAATAGGAGGACTGGGATTAGTCTGGATTGGTACAACAAGAAGATCCACTTTCTATTGTTGGTACATAGCATTTGCTTTCTCAATACTCTTTCCTTGGTTCTCTCATCTTGTTTTGTTTTCTTTCTTTGGCTTGAGGAAACGGCAAGTGTACTGAAACAAGAACTTCATCTTGATCAGGATGTTACTTGCTTGATTCTCTACTATTAGCTCCTTTTTTTTTTTTTCCTTTATTTGTAACTGCTTATCAGATGCTATTCCAGACTAATTTTACTCCTCCGATGTAAGAAGATGATTATTATTTGATACTGATTGTTTTGATACGTATACTTTTTTTGTAATGATCTCAAGGCTAATCTAATGCATTCCTCACGAAACAAAATAACTTGATGGATTTTTAAAACTTTTGAAGTTTCCTTTCTTTGTTTTTTTTTAATGTACAACAAATCCTTCTCTTAATATAGGTTTCCATTCTCTTGAAAAATTGAGCGACAAAACATTGACTACAGGTTGTCACAACTCACCAACTTGAGACAGTTTCTTGTTCACTCGTGCATCTTTAGTTGTTCATATGTGCAGGAGAAGGTCCTCTTAACCTCTGACTATTCTCATTCAGCCACTCTTTCTCTCTCAGAAATCGAAGAAACGGTCCGGGATCATCACTGAAGCCATAAGCATTTGTTGTTCCTTGTTGACCGTTGTAGAGCTTCTCTCCTCTAGATCCATTTTCTTCCATGTAGAGCTGAGTGTAAATCATTGGGTTTTCAGCACAGATCGTCGGTTGTTCGTTTGGTGTCCCGTACTTAGCTAAGAGACTGATCTTGGAAGACCCATGAGCCAAGAAGTTTCTCAAATTGTTTGTCCCTTGTGCTTGATAGGAATAGGCTGGTCCAAGATTCCGACTTTCTCTGTACCGACGTAACCATTCTGAAGAAGAAATCCCAACAAATGGTGGATTAGTGTATGGCTTCATAACACCGGGTAGTTCCATATATGTTTTCTGGTCATAGAAGCTCTCTGCTTTATTAGTACTAGCGTCATTATGAAGCCAAGAAGCATCCTCAGGCAGTAATGGAGCAGATGGAGTAGGAGGTGAATAGGAAGACGCAGGATGCTCGGTGCTGCTACTGATGGAGAGACTATCAAAGGTTGAGACAGGACCTGTTTCATCAATAGGGCCCAATCCGTTTGGTTTACCTAAACTGGGTCGTCCATTTTCTTTGTTCTTGTCAACAACCCACGCGCTCAGCGATGGAGGTCTTCCTGAGATGGTACCTTCTTCTAGATGCAAATGTTGTGGATCTGTGTTCTTAAGGCCTTGCGTAAAGCTGAAGCTTTCAGAGCCAGTATCCTGTGAGCTATGGTTCACAACAAGTGATAAGGTACGTCTTAGGTTTTCATCGGATGTAGTTGTTTGATTTCCTGAAGTTGTGCTATCGGAGCTGAGTGGCTTTGTTTCAATGCCAGACGAATAGATTGGAGCAGATTGACACCTTACGAGCGGCTTGAGAAGAATGACTTCTTCCTCTTCTGCAGGTATAGATCTTTCCTTTTCAAAAGGAATGATTTCAACTGGTCCTATGGTAACACATTTTCTGTTGCTACCCTCTCTATTTCCATGAAAGAGCTCTTCTTTGCATTGCAATTCACCAGAAGTTGTGTAGAATTGAGTCCTTTGCTTGTCAAAGAATAGCCACTTTTGAGAAGCCTTCTTCTGCCTACTTGTAATCTCAATTGCGGAATTAATAATCCGTTGGAGACGGAGCTCCTTCCCTCTATCAAAACTCTCTTGTAGATCCACATGACTTGAGAAATCCAAAAGTACATGTCTGGGAGCCAGAGGAGCCAAATACTTCAGTTCATGATCTTCCCAGAGAGCGACCAACACTTTAGCAGAGCAGTTTTTGCCTTTTACTTTTAACCGGTTCAAGAAATCAACGAGTTTGCCAAAGAAGTAAGATATTGCACTCTCGCTCTTCTCATCAAACCTGCATTCTTCCTCGTGAAGCAGAAACGGTAAGTAGTCTAGAAATACAAGTAGAGCAGGTAAGAGAGGGCAAGAATCCAAGGGGCTCGTCTTCAAACATCTCCCAACAACTCGGCCCATGATGATGAACACCATAGTTAATGCTAAATTTAGTTTGTCTTCCCCTATCATGCTGTCTGTACCATTAACCTCGGCGATATTGTGGAAGATGAAGATGAAAACCACAACAAGTTGGAGAATTTTATAAGGTCCCTTTCTCGCCGCTGTGTCCATAAATTGATAAGACTCCAATATGGCTTCTAGATTTCTATCATCTGCTGCAAACGCTGCATCCAGCTCTCTTATAGTTGAAGCAAATGCACGGCCAAACTCATCAAAACTGAAACAAACCAGAAAGAATTGAAGAGAAGAACAATTTTGGAGAAAGGCTCATCAAGAACTTGGGCTAAAAGATGAGAATCAATGTTACTCATGATCCAAACTTACCTGGATTTAAGGAAAAAAAAGCTAGTTGTTCGAACAACCAGGGGCCATAAAGCAATTCCAGTTACTAGTTCTCCTTTCTCTTTTGACAAATCGTTCACAGAAACATTTCTCTCTGATGGGTTTAAGAAGTTAAACTGTGCATCAGTAGACAGAGACTTCAAAGGAGAAGACCTGTTCTGCAGTAGTTAAAACGATAATTTTGAGCAATGCAGGGCAAAGATAACTCAATTGCAGAGAAATAGAAAAGAGTCAGTGAATCAGTTACCTTCTCAAACAACAAAAGAAGATTGTTCAAAGCACCCTGAAAAGGTTCTTTCACGGCTAAGCTTCGTACACAGTGATACAGAGCCAAGAACTCATCACCAACATATGTCGCCAATACAGCTAACTACACAAATGTAAGCGGATCACTCAGAAATGGCAAATATAAACAGAGTGGTGGAAGAAGAATTAGTTACCTGGTTATGGGGATTTCCACTATCAGGCCAAGATGTTGCAGCTTCAAGATAGTATGTAGCTGCAGTTGACCAATTAGGATGCTCATGTGTTTTCAGATATTGTTCTTTATACCTTTGGAGATCTCCAAGACAAATATAGAAACGATGGCATAAGAATCTGCTTTTTTGTTCTCCAGATTCCTCGGAGACTCTATTGTAATACCCTCTGACTTTGGAAATCAGATTCTGGTAAAACTCAGCCGCTCTTGACAGAAACAACTTGAATGCTTTAATATGCTTGACATGATCATCTGTTTTAAGGCCTTTACGAAACTCATCGATGTGTTTATAGTGGAGTTTCCAGAGACAGAACTCTACTTCTTGAAGCTCTTCGTGTTGGAGATTGCTTTTAAAGATTTGCTCGTAGGTCGAACCTGCTTTCGTGTATAATTCTGAAGCATCAGGATGCAATATACCCTTTGAATGGATTAATGTCCATAGCTGCTTCTCAATGTTGTTTACCTGAGCAAAAAACACCATTCAGTTGTGTGTTCATATACAGAAACAGTGAGTTAAGAGATTCTGTAAGCAAAAGCAACAAGCTTACCTCTACACGAAAATTAGGGCTATGGTTCTGATCAGCTGAATCGGCATTACTCTTGGGTAATTTTCCAGTAGAAGCTTCCATCCTCTTTGGTGATTCAGACAATAGTGTTAAAACTTGGAGACAGGGCAGGACTGAGAAACATTGAAAAACTAAGAAAGATCAAGAATTTATCATAAACCGTAGAAAAAGGAAGAAGCTTGAGGACTAGAAACTCATGAGTGCTTGGTAGTTGGTCCATACAAGAAAACTATCATCTAACCTGAACAGGGTAAGCTTAAAGGCAGAAGCTTTGGTGAAACTAAAGAAACCCAGTTGATAAAATCTCCAAGAAACAGTAGCTAAAGTTAAGAATTACAGAGAGAAGAGCAACAGGTAAGAGATATCACAATCAAAAGAAGCAGAGTAGAGAGCAGGGAAGAGAAGAAAGAAAAAATCGTAGAAGAGAGTGAAATCTATAGATGGAAAACGAAAAGACAAAGAGGAGGAGGACTTTACCAGAAGAAACTTTGACGTACGGAGATAGGAAAGAAGAAGCCAAGCGAAGTGTGTCACATGGAAGAGAGAGAGAGGATTTGGCAAAAAAGATTGTGAAACGGACAAAGTAGAAAGGTAGCTGATGATGATGTTGATGAATTGATTATGATGATCATGATGATGATGATCATGAAGATTCAGACAGAGGTGGATACATATCTAATCCATTATTTCCCACTTCTTCTTCCAAGTGCTCTCAACTACATCATTTGTTTCTCCTCCAAATAAATATTCTTTAATTCATTTTTCTCCCTAAATTTTTTCAAAGATTCATCTAAATGATTAAATTAAAAAATATTGGTAAAACATATTTAAAGAATCTAAGAATTTGCTACTACGTCAAAAAAAAAAATTATATAATGCTCCAGTATTAGACTATGTAATGCATATGTACTAGTAATCCTACTGAATTTGAAAAAGGAGATTAGAGGAAGCAAAAGTTAGCCACGCCACTTTTAAATATTCCTTGACGTTTAAGCCAAACCTTCCTTTATCCTCCTCCATAACTATTCTGTCATGACTTTTGGGATATAGTAATCCTATGTCATTTAATTTAATATAATTCTGAGATTTATAAGATCTCACAACTAATCATAACATAATAGTGAGCTTTCAACATTTGTAGGAAGATAATTAAGTTGGTCTTATCAACAGTTATAATCTTTAAAAACTGTTTGTTCGAAGACGTAGAAAAAAACTATATAATAAGAAAGCAATAGAGATATATTCAAATTTGTTATAATAAAATTGATAAGTTGTCTTATTCTAGTTCATAAATTGACAAATATTATTGTTGGACAAATAAATAGTGAGAGTGAGACTTTGGTTCAAACAAATATACATTGTCCCACACAAATTAATTATAAATAGATGGTGCATGAAATCCATGATTTATCTGGTAAATTTTCCACAACTAAATTGTTTTGTTTTTCTTAACGTGTGAGTGTATATATATTACTAGATATACAATCAAATATGTTAATTCTACACAATATTAGATACGAAAGAAAATGAAAAAAAAACATTAAAATTTTAAAATTCTCACAAAATCTATACCTTATTGATAATAATTTCAAACTAAAACTTGATAGATTAAGAAATCGACATCCCACAAAGCCTACAATATAGTATATATGTTTGATCACTCGAGGACATCACCTCACAAGATGACTAGTCTTTTTGGTTTATATGTGATGGACCCATTCGTATTAAAAACAAAGGCAAACAAAGCACGTAACTGAATTGGAAACTTACCAGCACAACTTTTAATTTTCTTCATTTTTATCATTTTTAAAGATCTTTTGACGATTGATATCGATATTTTGATGATAGCTACACTACACTACACATACGTTATATTATTACTATATAAAAAAAAAAAGATGAATTACGTGGATGATGTATCTGTGTGAACTACGAAAGTAAAACCTTCGAAACTATCAAAGAGACATTTGAAATTTTCTTCTTCATTTTATAAAATTAGAAAATGATTATAAACTGAGTTTGTCTGTGTTGATCTTCGTGTCTACGTACTATGGTTAGTAAATAGATTGCGACGATGATTATGTAGGAGACTATAAATAGTGTTTTTGGTATTGACTTTTTCTACTTAAGTATTAGAATAATTGTGTGTGTTTTTTTTTTCAATTAACTTCTTAATGACAACAATAGACATATTGACCAATGAAATGCGGGCAACTAACGTTGTAGTAGTTGTTCGGTACGTGATTAAGTGACCCATTACTATGGTCTATGGCATTGCATCTCTTGATTTTTTCTTGTCATTGTTATCATTATGAAAATATATTTTTTAAGAAACATAATTGACCGACACGACATCTTACACTATTTTACTAACTAGCTTCTAGCTCTCGTCTTTGCTCTTCCTGGCACTTTATGGAGTACTACCACATCGCAATATCGCATTCATAATGGAATTGTGTATATCATGAGACTGAAAATGTGGTAGGGATCCAAGGAATCTGAATTATTGTATTGTGTCAATGCATAGTATATTTTTTTCCTTGTAATTTTCTCTATAATCAAATGGTCCAAGGAAGTATATATGTGCCTACCGGCTTGCAAAAGCGGCTTGAGCACGAGGTTGCCCCATTTTCCTATATAAACTCTCAGATTCTAATGTAAATAGCTCACGAGACTAATCTATTTCAACCGGCTTAACAAATTATTGTGTTTTGATGTTAAAAAAAAAAAGTGCTAATGAGATCCATAAATATATATTTTTTGGAAAAGAATTTATGATAAAAGAGTTGACGAAATTTATATCTTTCTAAAAGATGCTGAAAAACTAACGCAGGGTTTATGAATTTACGGAAAAATAGTATCTAAAATATAATGATCCTATGATCTCTTATAACCAAAAATCCAAAAAAGCACTATTCGTTCTTAAACTTCTCTTGAAATTGGTTACAATGCTGATAATAGACATTTTTACATGCCAACGTTGAGCATTTACTTATATATATTTTCACAAAATAAGATTTAATATAAAAAAACAAAAGTTAGCCGAATAAAAAGCAGAGCCATAAATAACTTATATCAAATTTAGATATAACTACCAAACGGTAAAAATGGAAAAAAAGTCCTAGAAAAAAGGTTAAAACCCTCATTTTCAAAGTAACAGAATTAACAACCACAAAATAATAACAAGCAAAAATCTCAAATCTGTCTTAACCTTGTTTTATTTCCGCAACAAAACCAATCTCTCATTTGTTCTTCTACACAATCTCACATACTTCTATTTCTCCCTCTCCTTGTCACAAGGAAGGGCGTGGAAGAAACCAAAACTAAAACAAAAGAGTAATAATTTATAACTCACTATTAATTCTTTATAAAAAAAAAACAACAACAACAAAAAAATGGGTGTCAAAATGTTATTGATCTTCGGGCTCTTGATCTTAGCTATGGTAGCTAAATCCGTGAATGCGACCTATCCATTGACAAAAGCATGCGTCAACGGGCAAGGCTGCATCGGAGAGGACGATGAGCTCGAGTCTCTGATGGATTCAGAGACAAACCGACGTCAGCTCGCAAGAGGACGTCGTTACATTGGTTACGATGCTCTCAAAAAGAACAATGTGCCATGCAATAGACGTGGCCGATCTTACTACGATTGCAAGAAGAGAAAAAGGAACAATCCTTACAGGCGTGGATGCAGTGCCATCACGCATTGCTATAGGTACGCTCGCTAAAATGAATAGAGAGAGAGGACGAAGCTTTGTTTCATCTTACGTACGTACACGTTCGATCTTCTTCATTCTTGATCGTTAAATATTTAATTTCCACCACCTTTTTCTCTTATTTTTTTTGTTTTCATTCTTTATTAACGTATCCTATGTTATACGTATGATCTTATATTCTCTTTTTTTTTTGTTTCCTTTAATTATTTTAAAATCATCGTCATCATGATGCATATAAGCTTTTGATTCTATTGGTATATCGCTTCTTTTCGTTTCCTTTTGTTGTTGTTCTTTAATTTCGTTTCGTTCATATAATTAAGTTCCGTTTCCTCTATTATATACATCATGATGTTTTTAGTATTTTTACAATTTATACATTTGTTTTAACGACCAAGGGGCCAAATTGGACCTAGTTTTTTTTGTTCTTTTCTATATTGTATTTTGTTTTATCTCGAAACGAACGAGGCACGTCAAGCTTTGGTTACTTAAAGTTGAGACTGTTACTGATCATGGGATCTAACCCGATCGGACAAATATTAAGACATTAAAAGTATTTCTTATTTATCAACAAAAGGAAAATGAGAAATCATTTGAGCTTTCTTGCTTCAATTTCCCAAGATCAAGAAGATCAAAGGAAACTATGTGCAGATAAAATACAATGAACAATGTAAAGGTTATAAGAAACGTTTCGGCCTTTTGGGTCTCAAAGTAAAAATGAGTTTGAACTGAAAAAGCCCAAGTCCGAGACCAAATCAAACTGCACCTTTATTTTTTAGGAGAAAAGTGTTTTGTGGTTCTCAATTTAAGATGAGAGTGTGAAGCGGTCGTACTCAAAAACAGCTTCATTCAAGTTCTCAAGGGAGAGAGGGGGCAATAAAAGAGCCCTAAGAAAACGTATAATGTTCATTCTTTGGTTAGGCCCATGCTGTGCCTGTGCTCTCTCTGACTGACTCACTTAGCTAACAGTTAAAATTGTTTTGTCTGTTTGTTTGTCTGAGGAAATGTTTGGTAGTTTCATGGTCACAAGACCCACCTGCACTACTACTTCATTCAGCACTGTATGGTCTTTTTCCAATACTCATTAAAAAAAAAAGAAAAAAAAGTAGAAGCCAAAGAAGACTTTGAAGTGAGATGAGAACCTAACTTTGAAACATTATTGCTATTCACACCACATCTCCCATTACTTTTTTCTTTTTTTGACTTTTTCTATTATTTAACTTTTCTTTTCTTTATAATACTAGTGAACTAGATTTTACAAAAAAAAAACTTTTTATTTTAGTGTTTTCACTCTTTTTTTTGGGGTGTGGAATATATTCTTTGTTGTAAAAGAAGAATCCATCTATATCTTATACTCTGTAATTTAAGGAATTTAGGTACAAACATCACTACAAAATCCGGATTAGATTCTAGTGGGTAAGATTTACCAATAGCAGAAGAATACATCTAACCAAATTATTTTCACACAAAAAAAAAAGATCTTTATTGTTATAACTATTTTTGTAAGAGAAGAAAATTGAAAAAATGAGTCAACCCCAATTGCTATCAGTGGCACCACTAATAGTGGGAGTGGGGCACATAACTTCAACTCTCTTCACATGAGAATTTTCTTTCTTTTTTGTATAGAGAGATAGATAGATAATAATGGATCCGGTCCACCATGAGAAGATTGAGTCAAGTTTAATTTTAAACTTTTTCATATATATATATTTAGTCATCAAACCCCATTTAATGACAAAATACTAAATAATTAAGCCATTAATCGTATCCTTAGACCACGTCCCTTTTGTACAACCAATTCAAACACCTAATATATTTTTCTTTCAAAACTTTGACCAAATAAAGATATACTACATGATATTAAAAAGACAACAAAAAGATCGAGATGGGGTCATTTTGCATATGCCCATTACCTCAAATCAATCTAGCCATATGCCACTAGTAAAAGTTCACCTTTCAACTAAAAACATTTCACATTTGACTCAAGATATTATTATTATTATTAGACCCCAAACAAATGACCACAACAACTAAAAGGATTGTTCTACTCTTAAATGTATATCCAAACCACAATTTTTGATGTTGCTATTCATTCATTAGGCCAAAAAATATAGGTAAAAAAGGGGTCAAAATCTCACAAAACCCCTATCTCAATCAAAATCATGAATATGAATTGGATTCAAACAGGATAAGAAAGAAAAAATATATACAAGTCAAAAGATTCCTTACCCCTAAATTAATACTCTTCTCTTTAGACAGCTAAGCCCCACTCTTTTCCCTTCTTTCTATCCAATTTACTCTTTTTTCTTTCTAATTTGTATATAAAAAGGAGAAAAGAAGACTATACAAAACAAATATGGTTTTATTTATGAAAATGAAATAATATAAAAATCTCTTTTCTTCTTACACTCCTTTTTTCCCCTTTCATCGATACTTATCAAAAGAAGGTTTGGATTGGACCAATTTGGTTTCTCTCTAAAGTAAGACTAATCTCTTCATCAATTTGTCTACTTTGAATACAAAAAAACAATGTAGGATACAACTAATTGTGTGTGTGTTTTTTAACCCCTCCAATTACTATAGAATATAGATATCATTCAAGTCAAATTGCACAATTACATAAACTGACTTAATAAGAGTGAAAAATACTAATCTGATTTTTAGCATTCAATTCATTGAAATAAGTGAAGTAGAGAGCATCATATTAAAATCACCATACAGGAAAGAGAGATTTAACAATAATAATAATACAATTGAAGGCGGATGATTTTTAAAAATTTAGCAAACATCTCAACATTACAACTTTTTTTCTCGTATAATAATTCTCATCAGGATGCACCTCAATTCCCAATTATATAATATGTAATTAAGATCACAAAAGGAAAAAAAAATTGAGTAAAAAAATAAAAATAAAAATTAGGGTTTTCAAGAAGTTGAAGCTGATGAAGAACCTGAGACACGAGGTGAAGTAACCGGAAAAAGAGGAAGAAGTCGTGGCTCTGGATCCATCGGAGTAGTCGCTGGGGATGGATGAAGATAAAAGCCTTTCTCTTTCATGGCTTTCTCCTCGGCGGCGAGCTCGTCGGGGCTCTGGTTCGATGACCCGGATCGATCGAACGGGTCGGGTATAAGAGGCGTGACGGGGCTGAGAACGAGAGAAGGGAAATCGAGGATGCTGGGAGAGAGGATCTCGTGTTTCCGAGGGGAGAAAGCAGAGTTAACCGGGTTAAAAACTGGGTTCAAAGGATTGATTTTGAGATTCTTCATAGAATTGCGACGCTCGTAGAGGCGGAACCCTGAAGACTGTTTCTTGTTCGGTACGGCTTTGATCGGAGGGATTGAGAAAGAGGAAGGAGTGGATCTTGGGTCGGGTGGATGGGTGGTGGTGGTCGGGTTTGGTTTAAGGGAAGAAGCGTGTTTGGGTCTGTCGGAGGATCCGGTGAGCATCTGAACGACTTGTTTGAAGGATGAAGTGTCTGCTTGAACGAATGTTGTCGGGTACGGGTTACCTGATTCGGATCTTGTAGTAACGTGTCGGGTTGGGGTTGTGGGTGGTTTGTTACTCTCACTGCTACTGCTCATACTACAGCTGTTGTTGTTGTTGTTGTTGTTGTGGCATCTCGGCGATGGAATCAGATTCGTGGCTTCTCTGTATCTCGGCGAATTCTCCATTTTGTTGTAGCACAGCACGAGAGAGAGAAGAGAAGAGAGAAAAGATAAAAATTGTGTTTTGTGTTTTTTGGTTCGGTAAGAAAATGTTTTCGGTGGGCGCTATTGGCTCTTTAGTCTCTTTCTTAATTTCTTTTTAAGTCTTCGCTCACGCGTTGACTTGGAGAATGGTCTGCACGCGCCGTCGTCCTAAGATGGTGGAAGTGTGAGTTTTTTTTTTTTTTTCTACACTATTGTTGTTGTTGTGTAGACTTATTTGGTTTTTGTAAGTCTTTAGCAATAAATGATTAGAGGTAGAGACTAAAAAGTCTCTTTAATTAACTACAACGCATATATAATTTCTACAAAGAAGATTTAATTTCCTTTGGGGGGGAATTGAACTCGTTGTTGGAACTCATCTCAACCAATGATGGTTTAGATGACTAGGAGGACAATTAATTATTTATGTGACCTCTTTTTTTGGGTCAAATATACCAATAAATATGCTAAGAATTGATGTTATGGTAAGTTGATTTATCTACGTGTCGTGTTATTATATATTCAATCTATCAAGATATGCTTTTCTTGGAAGTAATCTAATCATTGAGCTTGAAGGGTTTTTTAGTCGTTTGACTAAGTAAGCTACTAGTCTAGAACTATTTCTTCATGCTCGTTATTTGCGGAGATACGTTGGGCTTTTATGAGTTGGGCTCTTGTATTTGTTACTTGTTTACCAAACGGGTTGGGTGTGTGAGTTCAGGCCCTGTTAGTGTATATTTATTTGGGCCATGTCTTGTGTAGTTTATCGATCTTGAGAGTAGAAATGATCAAACCTTACAACTCTCTTTGTTATCGATCTCTCGTCCGTCCAAAGAATAAAAGAAAAAGGAGTGAAGTTAAAGAGATTAACACTGCATTTTCTTGATCATCCAATTGATATCAACAACTAAACTTCTTGCAAAATCGCACTACCTTAATGCGTTTACAAGTTTCTTCTTCTCTCTTTTTTTTCTGGGTCCTTTAATTTACTAAACTACATCTGAATTCTCGTAACAAGAAAAAAGAACAAGTTCAATCATGATAGTAAACAGAATGAGTTTATAAGACAATGAATTAATTTCAAGCAACACTGTTGAACTGAAATGTCGAACACTTAATGCATGAGAGAAGGTCAAGTTATGAACTAAAAAAAGTGGAACACTAAGGGCATCTTCAATGGGAATATCTTAGCCTGCTTACTATCATGATTGAACTTGTTCTTTTGCGTGACACCATTGAGGATGGTCTAATGCATGACACCACATAAATGAAACAAGAAAAGCAAAAGGTAAAAAAAAAAAAAAAAAAAAGAGTATAATAGCTTAATCGTTTCACCACAACCCATAAACATTTCTTGTTAATCCACTTTTTTCTTAATTTTCAAAACTAGTCGTTTTAAATAGTGAAACCTTGAATTATTTCTTGTCCTTTTTGAACGAAAAAACAAAAACTTTGGAGATGTGATGGGGAAATGATGTCATCCCCGTGGCCGACAATTACGCAGCTGATTTTTCTCCGAATCCAAGAACCGACTAGAAACCCTATTCGATGATTCCCCCACCCTTCCCCTTCCCCTTCCCATCGAACCTTTCACCGTTCCTAGTAATCATTTTTCTCTTTTGTCTATACCGTAAAATAACATTCCTATATATAAATAAAAAAGAATAACAAGTTGGGAAAAGAAAATTTATGCATTGATTATGCATTGCAATCTGCAAATTATAATTATAATTAAACTCGCGCCTTGACACTTTCACTTAATTTGTTCATTCAATGTGTGTTATGTTTATACTAACGGAGTCATTTCATTATATTCTCATTTTGAAAAATCCAAAATAAATCATCTCGAAAAAGCTAGTAATACTATTTTATTCAAATGAAACTTAAACAACGTCGCTTAAAAAGAGAGATTCATACATCATAATTTAAACCCAAGCATTTTTTTTAACTTAAAAGAAGAAGAAAAAACTAGCTAACATTAAAATTCCAACGCACATAAACTCTCTCTCTCTCTCTTGCTCTTACACTCTTTTTTGAACACGAGATAATCATATGATAAACTCGACGTAATCAAGAAAGTAACCAGAGGGACGGATTCATCTTCATTTGGGGCAAGCCGGGTTGAATGCAAATGGACCGACGTTAAAGATACCGTAAGGCAGCTTGTTGATCACCACCGTGGATTTTCCAGGGCTTCTCTCAGGCTTGAGTACTGCGCCGACATCTCCACCGAAGAGCTTGGACACTTTGTTGCACTTGTAGTCCTTTGATTTCACCAGATACACACGGCATCCTCTGAAACCGTAGTTGGTCACCGTCTTCGGAGCCAACAAAAAGAAGTATCCGTTCTTGTCTGTCGTTGCCTCCGAGATTATGTTCTTCTTGCTCTTGCACACTAGTCTCACAGTTGCACCTGCACGAACCAATGTAATTAAATAAATTATTGAGAATAGTTATTATTGTATGCTTTAAATTACTTCTTTTCGGAAGTAGTGAAATTTATAAGCCAGACTGTAAAAAACAGTGACTGATGAGTGCAGAAGTGTACATATATAAAGTCACTCTCTTTATTTTTTTATTTTTTTTTTACCGCTTTTCAAAACATTGACTAGTTACGTACCAAAAGGTCCCTACCACTTGTAACGTTTTTGAAATTTTGAATTATTATTATCGAAGTGTGCGTTGGTATGTGATACGTATTATTATTTATAGACATATACAGTATTGAATAAATGCGTATGCAGAGCGGGCAAATTAGGTTATTTCACAAGATTATTGCTGATGTATTTATGAATGTATAAAATAAATAACAGAAGTTAATGATATACTACTAATAACATAAAGAAAATTAGTTCAAGAAAATTAGTTCAAACCTTCGGCAGGTTTAGCGCCTGTGAGTGAGTCGTAGGCAGCGTATTTGCAGCTTTTGCAGAAGACTGTACCACGAACGGCGACTAGGCTACGGTTGAACTTAGGTGGGTAAACCGGCGGCATAACTGGTGGCTTAGCCGGAGGAGAAACTGGTGGTTTAACCGGGGGCTTAGTTGGGGGCTTGACTGGAGCTTTGGTAGGAGGGTAAACCGGGGGCTTGACCGGAGGTTTGGCTGGTGGGGAAACTGGTGGCTTGACCGGGGGTTTAGTCGGGGGTTTAACTGGAGCTTTGGTGGGAGGGTAAACCGGGGGCTTGACCGGAGGTTTGGTCGGTGGGGAAACTGGTGGCTTAACTGGGGCTTTGGTTGGAGGCTTAACTGGAGCTTTGGTAGGAGGGTAAACTGGGGCTTTGGTTGGGGGCTTGACAGGAGCTTTGGTGGGAGGGTAAACTGGGGGCTTAACTGGAGCTTTGGTAGGTGGAGACACTGGTGCCTTAACCGGGGGCTTAACTGGAGATTTGGCCGGTGGGTGAGGGTGAGGGTGGGGGTGGTGGTGATGGGGAGGGTGTGGGTGGTGGTGACCGTGGTGGTAAGGAGCTGGAGCAGGAGCTAGAGTAGGGGTTTGACTGACATGGTTCACTTCTTCAGTGAAGGCAGAGGAAGTGAAGCACCAAAGTGCTACGAGACTCACTAATACACTCTTACCTAGGAACCCCATTTTTTGTTGTTTTTGGTTAGTGATATGAGTTGTGATTATGAAACGGTTCTATTTATAGGAGAGAGGGTTCACGCTTCGAGTGTTATGAAATAAACTCCCCCTTTTATTTTCTTTGTAAATAATAATTCTAGTTACTAAGTTACTAGTACCACGTTAGTTACTCCTCTTATATTTCTGGTAACTATTCGTTTTTTTTTTTGTCACTCTTTAATTCTATTATACTCAAGATGAAAAGTTTGGCTATACAAAGATTTTTATAGTCACTTACTAATTATGTTTACAAAAAAGCTTATAAAATACGCAATGTTAAAAAGATCTTAAGTTCTTAATTCATCTTGTAAAAATTGACGTTGATTAATTATTTGATTTAGAAATTGATTCGTCTAAATTATCTAGAAAAAAAAGACTAATGCATAGGTGTAAGATTTAGATCGCCTACGTCAAGTTGCAGTATTTTTATTTTTGTTTAATAACCAATGTGTATTGCTCTTTATAAATTTTCCCCAAAAAAAAAAAGGATCGTTTTCAGAAAAAAGAAAACAAGATAATATAGCCACACAAAATTAACTTTTACTAATTACTATTATCACTATCCATCTAAACTGGACACTGTTTAGATAATTTAACTTCAACAAAAGTAATATGTTGGAAGGATATAAAATTTATAGAGAAATTGTTTTATAGCGTGAATAATTGTAATGTTGTTGAATATGAATTTCAATTACAATAAATTGTTTAGTGTCCTTTTTTTTTTGACATGATATCAAAGAAAACACTTTTCTTTTTGCATGATGATATTAAAGCAAACATGCAAAAGTTTTTGAAAATTTATATATGTGAAACTTTAGGAAAATTAAAAGTTTTGATAACATTTTCTAATTGCAGAACAATAATCGCAGAAAGTACCAACTCATACGGTAATATTATCCGACGGACGTTGTTACATGTATTGGAAGAGTGAAATTTTCTGATAATTTTAAGTTTATGTTTAGGCAACCTAGCCATGACCGACACCGACATACCGTACGACTTTACCTGAGGAGGAAAATTGTATTGATACTAAAAAACATAAAGTCTTTAGTTCACTGTATTTCTATATGTAATAAGTAGCCTCGAACTGAGTTTGCCATTAGTTACATTGTCTGAATGCATGTAAACCACATTTTGTGACAAAAGCTGATGTGGTTTTTAACTATTTTCTCTCAATATGTATCACTGATGACATCTTTTGGAGACTTTGAGCGTAATTGCTGCGTTACATTGCACATGTTCCTCAATTGATTAATCAAAATTTCTATAATATATTAAAGTTTGATCGATCACACGTAACTCTAAAAGTCATAAGCATACGACTAGGATCAGTTGCTGATAAACATGATAATACGTATACTTAGACAACTCCATAATACAATAGAACAAATTCACTCATCTCATAACTAGCAACCATATTCAAATTTGAATCCATTACTATTGAGATCACTTTTCTCAAATAGTTAAAAGTGATTACGCTTAGATATTTTTTCCATTTTTTCTGTCGTTTGTCTAAATTGTTTTTTGTGTTTTTTTCCTGTGTTAAATTAATGTAAAATGTCTAAATCGATTCACAAAAAGTTAGAAATGCAACGCACCATTTCAATAATAACTTTCACGAACGAGTAACTTAAATTATTACCGTTGCGGGAGATATATGTTTGTCCGGATAGAGACATGTCATGTTACATTTTCATGTTACCTGCAAAAGTATGGGAAATATGATAGACCCACATTAACATTATTATTATTTATTTATTTTAAAATAAAACCTATCTTTGGATGCTTTGGTCTAACGTTTAGCTATAGATTATAAACACAATTATGACGAGCCATAATTGTTTAAATGTTTAAATCCGATAACGCGAAGGCGAAGATGTGTTATCATTACGTTTACATTGTGTAGACTAATCATTCTTGTCGTTGGAATGATTCTCTTTGCTTTTATGATTTTTACTGAATTTAATATAAAAAAAAAATACGCCCCTAAAAAGTATGCATCGTGAACTTACCACATTTTCCTCCAAAAAATATGGCTACTTTCGTGCTATATAGTCTTTGCCCTTATAAAGTTTTTGTGTATATAAAATTTCTTAACTGTATAAGTGATATAGGTAGTATCATAGTGTATAGGTGGGTTTATCAATGTCCGACCTGATTGTCGGATCTTCACACCATCAACGAAGAGTTAAGTTCCATGGCTAATCAATTTCGTATTTTAAAAGTAAATATGACCAATTGTTTTTGTGTACATTTGTGTTGTGAAATGTTTGGTTTAATACTAATGAGGATTGCTACGTTTCTTTATACAACTTTTGGCTCTAGATATGTTGTTTTAGTTTGTTGAATTTATTTTTATTTATTTCTTATCAAAATCCAAAATCTCACTTCAATAAGCTTTTGGGCACTTTTTTTTTTTTTTTTTTTGTCAACACTTTATATTAATGATTCAAACAAACCAAAACTAAAAAAACATTGTTTAAATCTAAAATAAAACAAAACAAAACTCGGGGATTTTTATTTATTTCGCGAAATCCAAAATCTAAAAATCACTTAAATCTCTCTCTAACATTTTACTCGATTGTACATAAGCTTCTAATACCAACTTGAACGATCATTCGATCACAAACCACTTGTAAACAGCCGAACGTTCATAGATTGTTGTTTCATAGTATCCACACGTGACATGTATATCACATTACACATTTAATGTCCAAATCGAAATGCCACGCTTCCTACATTATTATATTTAGGAATTTGGGTACTTGGGAGTTGGAATCCATTATAATTTAATCAAACTATGATTTTAAAATTCATCGTCAATAAATTCACTCACTCGATCGGAACTCGGAAGGTTGGTTAGTCAATAAGTTATACTATTGCTTGTGTAAATTTGTATAATACTGACGGGGCCATATACATATTTATATAGTAACATTTGAGAATTATATTTTCATAGTATTTATATCCAAAAGTGTAATTTTTTTGGGTGTTGAAATTTTTACTATTATCTTAATCTAAAATTGTTTGGTTGTGTTCATATCCAAACGCGATTAATGTAAAAAAAAAATATGTTTAATAGTTTGTTGAGTGCCTAGCTAGATCTAGATGTCAACTATTATTATGACCGAATATATAAACTTTTAGTCAACTAAAGAGAAGAATCCTATCTGTTAGTAAATAGTGAAACAAGGTCACGTAGTCACGTGAAATTCTGCTGCAATCATCCTTCGGAGCAAAGCCAGGAGCCTATAACGGAGAACTTCAAAGATTATTAAATCTATTTCCCATATTTAAACTATAGATCGAAAATATATATATATATAGAGAGAGAGTATATATGGAATTTTTACATTTTAGTGCGATCGTGTTATATCCAGAACCTATAGCGTAAATCCAAAATGAGAGAATAGTCAGATCGTAACTTGGTATTTAATCAATCTGGTTTTCTATTCGCTTATAGTTGCTTTGAGGTTCATATAGTAATATCGATCAAACTTGAGATTTGATTGTCGGGTCAAACAGTAACTCTAATAAATTGTTTATTCTTATAGATTAATATTTGCATGGATTCACTAATTTCGGTTTGCATGAATTCACTTACTTTACCCCAAACACGTGTTGATTTTATTTCAAGTCTGCTGCACAGCTAAAGTCAAACATATACTTCCCTTTTAGTTTAGTGTCCCAGGTTAGTTGGGTTTGGAGTATCAGCTCTTTTGGGCTATATATATAATTAGAGTCTGGCCTATGGTTAGAAGAGATCATGTCTACTTTTCAAATTGAGAGTATAGTGTGGTAATTGTTTTGGGCTTGGATTAGTATTTAGGCTAAGGGTTAGACCGATGGAACTTACAATGTCTGGGTTAGGGAATCAAGTTTGAGAAATTAGGCCGACCAGTAATAACTTATTTTGATTTGCCAATTCTGGAAAATATAAAATAAAGGATGGAAAAAGCTATTAGAATTTCCGACTTCTGTGGAGGGACTATGCGTGTATCATCCTATTTTGAACACTTGAATGTCACTATGTTCATCGCGTGTGATACTGAGCATAAAGGCGTGTATTAAAATGTCCCGCATAGAAAATTGGAAAGTTTGTTGAATAATATATAAGTTATGTGACAAACTTTCCACTCATGGATTATTTTTTGTATATGAGTTTAGATCTATTAATGTAGTCTAACTAATCTCAAAAGAATACAGTAAAGTAGCCTAACATTCGGTTTTTGGTCGGTTTTGGGTCGGGTTAATCGGATTCGGCAACTCAAATTGTGTTTTCTTCCTTCTTCTTCCACCCATCTCTATGCCTTTTATTTCTGATTTTCTGCAATTTGACATGATTTCCTTTGAAATAGCTGCACCATCAACACATAAACCAAATTGTGAGTCAAAATGTCATTAAAAACATAAGAAACAAAGAAGAAAGCAAAGCAAACACACAAAAACGAACCAAGAAATATGAGATCCATATCATCTTGGAGTTTAATCTTCGGAGTTGGTTCCTTGAGGCATAGCAGTGGTGGTTGCTGTTAGTTTCTTAAGGGTCAGCGGCTCTAATATTTCTTTTAAGATCTAAAGATGAAAAATATTAGATTTTTATGTTTTTATATTTCTGGTTAATTTTTGGTTTCGGGTCGGGTAGAAACCAAAAACCGAAATTAATTAGTATAGAATCCAATCGAGTTTATGTATTAAACGAATCCAATTTCAATCGGTTTATTCGGATTGGATCCAATTTGGGTTTTGGATTTTGGGCTTTCTGTCGAGGCCTAAATCAAAAGAGAATGATTGGCACATCTTATATATATTGTTCAAAGATCTTTATTCCAAGCAATGTGGGACATGTTATTTATAAAAATCTTTAGCCTCTTTCAAGATGTGGATGGGAAACGAAAACGAATCCAAACCCAACATCTCAGAAATACTACAACAAAATATGTATGTTATTTATATGGATCATATAGATTAAAACCATTCTCATAGAAATTTGTTTGTTGGGCTTTATCATGATTCTATATTAGTAAAGCCCAACTAATAAAAGACGAACCACTACGAAGTTGGTTTATGTTTATTTATCCGTAGTCAAATCGCATGTTCACTGAGAATCAAGCATTCATGTCCTTCCTAAACGAATAAATTTTCACATTTACTTCAGTTGTTTAGTATAAATCTTGAAAATTCATATGAAACAAATCTCTAATCACTAAATAAATAAAGGTTGTTCGCAAACAAGATGTCTAAATCTCTTCCAGGTTATATATAAAACTGAGAATGAAATGTTTTGTAACTAAAACTGATATACTGAACACAAACGATCATTTTTCTTAATTAAACAAACTTTGATACATTTATAACCAAGAAATAAAAACTATATAAAAAGCCAACTATAGATATGAAATATTTTCTTTTAATCTCCCTTCTTTAGTATATCCCAAGGTCCATTTGCATAAGGGGGTTAGCTATATGAACTTCAACCACATCACCACCCAGCATACTCGCTAAAGCTCGCCTGATCATCGGATGAACCCACGTCCGCATGATCCACAGATGACGACGAGGACGCAGTTTGAACTTGATGGTGCTGATGATCAGTGTCAATGGTGAGGTCCATGAGATCGTTAGGGTTGGGATCATAGTGATCGTTTAGATTTCCAATGAGCATTGCAATAGCAGCTTCTTCTTCGTCTCCTTGCATGTAATCATTCATTAGCTCTTCATAGTGGTTCATGTCATAGTTGTTGATTATCTCGTTCACTTCCATCGACTCATCTCCACTTCCTCCATTTTGTTTGCCCGACATTGTAACGGCAAAGTACTGTAATAAGAACAAGCGAATAATACGCACACAAGTCATAAGTCATAAGCAAACCAAATCAACCCAAAAAAAGGAAAATTATTAACTCTATATAACTTCATGTAATCATTGACAGGAAAAGGCCAAAAACAGGCAATAAAGTTTTGTCTGTATGCTCAACAAACTGATTTCAATGACTACTTATAAAATTCCCAATTTAATTTGAACGTCTACTAATTAGTCATTTTTAATTAACCCTTTTTGTCTTTTTATAATTAAAAAAAGGGGAAAGGGGAAATTAATAAGAGAGCTCACGAGATTCTTGCTTTCGTCCTCGTATATTGTTAAAGTATCTCCAGTCTCTAATCCATTTTGCTTCACAAATTCTCCTTCAGTTATCACACACACAGACACATACACAAAAATATTAAAAAATGAAAATCATATAAGTAAAATACTTTTGATGAAATAATATTTGGAGTTCCTCAATATTTACCTGTGTTTTCGAGGACATACATTCTGCTCTTGTTATTGGACCAGAACCTGTGACATTAATACCAAAAAAATAACTCGTAATTTAAAATAAACCCTTAACCAAACAAAAGAAAAAACCATTAAAATTTAGCGTATGATTAAGAAAGAAGTGAGACGTGAGACTAACTTGTATTTGAAAGACCAAGACTGCAAAGAGAAAACATCTCTCATCTCTACAATGATTCCTTCTTTATTAGTTAACTTCGGAAGCTTTCCTTCTGCTTCCCTCTGCATTCCAAAGCCAAATATTCACGTATTAATTTCTTACTTAGGAAAATAACAACAATTATCATTAAACCAACTTTTAATTAATGTCTTAATTAAACACCCAAGATATATGTAGACTTTTTCCATGATGATCTTTTTTTTGTGAACAAAAAATTCACTTTCCCATAATTGTGTCTCGAGGTAAATCATTTAAGAGATATTTAATACAGAAAAGGCCATATACTAGACGTCTTTTCATTTTCTTCAACCCCATAATGTAAAATAAACTCATTTTCACAATTTTCATCTTAGCTAAATACATAACAAAAACTGGGTGTGATACATAACAAACAGTTCAAACTTAACTATTAACTTTAAATTAAGAATTAAATTCGTATACACACTACATGATAATGTTTAAAAAATATATATATATATAAATTTGTAATAAAACCAAACTAATTTGATTAAAAGAACTTCATTTTATTCCACGTTCTCATGTTCATATGCATCATGTTTTTTCGTGTGATTTCCACAATTTTCTTCATAAAATTTTCTCATTTGCAAATAAGAAAAATAATGAAAACGAAACAAAAGAAATTGTAAAGTAAACTAAACTGAATTGTAAGAATTTACATACCTTTGGGAGAACTATCCTCCCAAGCGCCCCAACATCGCTCTTCTTCAAAAGCTTCACACACAAAACCCTAAGTTTCTACAACAACCAACCAATTGAAAAAAAAAAAAATTAATATGTATCATAGAGTTAAATATTATAAAATTGGACCAGCACAAAAAAAAAAAAACCTTGTCATCGAAAGTGGAGTGAGGGTAGAGATCTTTTTTCTCAGGGATCTGCGCAGAAGTTTTCATGTCAAGCATCATCAGCTGTCTCTTTGAATCAACCAAGTCGTTTGGACTAGAATTAGGGCTAGGGTTGTTTCTTGATCTGATCATGGCGTTCTTCCTGTTGATCCTGGCCATCTTGGTCGGATCAAGAAATCCCAAGCAAGGGTTAGTATTACTAACCAGAGAACAGAACCCACTTCCGGTTTGGCCAACCGGGATCTGAGGAAAACCATCGGATGAGTAAAGTGTCTGATGAGGATTCATCAACGCAGCCATCTGCTCCACCGGGTATGGATACGGCGGCAACAAGTGATGAGGCTGATGAGCATAGGTCGGGATCGTTGTGAAGTGAGAGAGATTGTTGTTAACATCCAGAGAGAAGTCTTGGACAGAGTTTGCGTTAGAAGAGGAGAAGAAGTTATCCATTTTTCCCGGGGAGAGAGAGAGAAAGAGAGAGAGAGAAAGAGGGAGAGATATGAATGGAAGAACAAAAAATAAAGAGAGAGGTCGTTGGGGAGATTGATTAGAAGAGAGCGAGTGAAGAAGAGACAGATGTTGGAAAAACACAAAAGGAAACGAGTCAAAATGTTGCAGATGGTTCGATGTTGCAGCTTATGGGGATACCCATCTCACCACTCACACAAGGAGAGAGATGTGATTATATAGAGGCTGAGACATATACATACAGTCGTGTATATGTATATGTGGCGCCAGATTGTGTTTGAATGTATATAAATGGTGTTTATGGCACAGAAGACCACGAGAAGGTCATTGGCTGTTTCTGTTGTTTTTATCTGAGATATAGAGAGAGAGAGAGAGAAGACTCTTTGTTTTATTTTGGAGTTGCTTGGCTCTCTTCCTTTTATTTACTCTCTTAAGCTATCCTTAAATCAAAGTTATTACTTAATATTTTGTTCAAACTTTGAAAAGATAAATCTTTGTAGTTTTAGTAATGGTTTGATAGTTGGCAATAATAAATTTTGGGGAAATCAATTAACAACCATTTATGTTTTGTCAAAGTTAAAGTTATTCGTTACTAATATTTTTGTCGCTTGTACATATATATATTTCTTTTTGACAACCTTTTGTCGCTTGTACATATTTAGGAAAAACCGTTATTTTCTTAAAATAACTTTAATTTAGAAAATTTTTGTATTCAAAGATTGGAAACGACAAATCCATTTAACTTTAGAAATATTATAATATTCACATATTAAGTGTTACAAAAACTTTATAACTTGTCACTCTTATTTTGTAGAAACTCATTAATCGCCATAAGTATATATTTTGTTATTGGACATACTTTGGGAAAAGCTTACTTTTTGGTATACTTATAAGGCACTATAATATCTTGTAATTTAAATACTCAGTAAAATAGCTACTAAAGCTTTAGAATTCAGAATTCAATTATGTGTAATATATTTACTTTAAACCTAATTATTTGGTAGTAAAACCAATATTATACATTTAAAAAGCTTATAGCTGATGTAATCTTTAGATGATTTTGGAGTGTTGAGTGTGTTTCTTAGAACTGTTAAAATAGGCAGTCCATAGTCCATCTATGTCCAATTTATTATGGACAGTTCAGTCACAAGTCCATATGTGGAGCGGAGATGGTCTTACACTTTCAGGGATTTCACACTTTCTTCTCCCAAACGGCTGGTGCTAGTGGAGTATTTAGGACTAGAAAAGTATTTGGATTAGTCAGTTTTGGACATGATGACATTTAAGAGCATTGATGCTTTGGCATATTGGAGAGCCAGTTCAAACCGTTTTAAGGAGTTGTCTTCTATGGCTTGTGACATTCTTAGCACCCCTATTACGAATGTGGTTGCGAAATCATCGTTTAGCATATCAACATGGGTTTTAAGGAAGTATCAAAGTTCACTTCTTCCTTCTAATGTTCATACTTTAATATGTGCAAGAAATTGGCTTCGAGGATTTGAAGAAATTATTGATCTATGTGAGTTTATCGACAAAGACAATGAAGAACAGGAGTTTGAAACATTTGTGCTAAAATTATGTTTGAATTTTGAAGTTTAATTTCTAGAGTTTTGTGGTCAAATGTGCATTTGGATTTTGGTACCTTTAACTTTCGTGTCAAATTTGTCTTTGGATGTTGTGTTTAGCCATTTGTGTTTTAATTTTTTTTCCTTATTTTACACAATTTGTTATATTTTGACCAATAGACACTCATAAATAGCCCATTAAATATGGTCGCTAATGGACACGGTCAACTATTTGTCCATAACTAAAATGGATAATGTTGGACGTCAAATTATAATGGACTTGGACAGTCCATTTTAAGAGCTCCGGTGTTTCTTTCGTTACCACATACAATTAAATCTTATGGTTGCTATTATTTTATTACTTGTTAATTTTGGATTACTGATTAGAGCATTAGTTTGATAGTTGGCAATATTAAATTTTGAGGAAACTCAATTAACAACCATTTATGTTTCGTCAAAATCAACTTTATTCGTTATTAATACTTTTGTCGCTTGTACATATTTCGAGAAAATCCGTTATTTTATTGGAAAAAACTTAATTTAGAAAAATTTAGAATTCAAAGATTGAAAAAGACAAATCCATTTACCTTTAGAAATGATATAATATTTACATATCAAACGTTACGAAAACTTCATAAATTGTTATAACTCATATTTTCAACAAACTCAATTAACCATCATAAGTACTTTATCGATAAAAACTTATTAGGCACTATAATTTCTTGTAATTAATATACTAGATAAAATAGTTACAAAAACTTTAAATTTCGAAACTCAGTTTTGTGGAAAGTTTATTTGTCTCGTTAGATGATATTTGTTGAGTGTGTTTCTCTCGTTACCTCATAAACTCAAGTCCTATGGTTGCTATTATCTTATAACTTGCGAATATTGGATTACTGATTAGAGAAGCACCTCCATCATGCATCCAAGTTTGTGTATATGTCGTGTTGAGCTCTTAATTCCATCTGATCTCATGGCTGAAGCAATATCTACATAAATAAGCATTAGTGCGGAGAAATGAACTCGGTCTTCTTGTGAATGCTCGGATAGAAGTTTCTTTAGAAAATCTTTGATGAGCATCACTTCCACCATCCATCGGTTGTCGCAGCCACATATTCTCTTTTCACATACTTTCTCTCCTTTATTACCCACATAATGATCTCGTTAGCTATCTTTCATTCCAACTTGATAGTTGATACAATGAATCTCAACCCTAAATTAGTTCTTTCTCCGATGTAACATCTTCCTAGATCGTTCAACCATATCTACAATCATCACATGTTGTTGTTATCCTCAAATTTGGAGAAGACGAATGCTTAGAGAAAGGATCTTCCATTAAGAAGTCTAGGTCCATGGCTCCTAGAAAAAAAAATATTAATTAGAGAGTTCTCTAATTCTTATACAAACTATTGATTTTAGTTATAGAAAACAGAAGACATTGGTAGGCATTTCCATTTTATTTTTTTAATTCAAGAAAAGGGAAAAATGTGATGAGATTTACTTTTTTTTTTCTTCTTCTCTTATTCATTGGTTAGACAACTTATGTGTATATAAATAAGAGCCTCTGCATCTCTTTTCGTCAATATAGATGAGATACTTGTCTTGCAATCACTACACGTTTATGTCGAAAAAACTTTGTTTTAGGACGGAATGGCTTCATCACGATGTCGTAGAGTGCATCCTCGAGAGAGCTCCGGTGACATCTCTGCTGAGATTCAAGGCTGTATCGAAGCAGTGGAAATCAACTATCGAATACCATTCATGCATCGTCAGCAATCAGGAGATCATGATGTTCTTATGGTGTCTGTTCTTGTCTACAAGGATGGTTTTACACTGTCCCGGGCATGTTACCCTCGGGTTTCGAATGTCTAAGAACATTGATGTCGGGTTCATCATCGTCACTTCAGATCCCTACTCATTGGGAAGACACATATCACTTTGTTTGTAAGAGTAGCTGTGACGGTCTCGTTTGTCTCTACTTTCCCGATCGCATATGTTTTGTGATCAATCCCACCACTAGGTTGTATCGAGTTCTTCCTCTCGCTATAACCAACTCATCATCGACACAGGAGTAACCATTTTGTTTATGCTTGGGTTCCGCAAAGACAAATTCACCGGCACATACAAGCCCGTTTGGTTATACAACTCCTCCAAGTTTTCACTAGAAAACATTACTACATGCGAAGTTTTCGACTTTACCACCAATGCCTGGAGGTAGGACACTCCCTCTGCACCTTACCGGATTATGCGCAGAGATCCTGCTGCGTAGAAACCATAATTATATCTTTGGATCTTCACACTGAAGCTTTTCAAGTCATCCCTATAGCTCCTTTTGCCAATGCACAACATGACTTGTTCACCATGTGCGACCTCGACAACCGCTTGTGCGTATCCTCTATAAATTGGCCCAACCAAGATATATGGTCTTTCAATTCATAGAGCAAGACATGGATCAAGATTTATTCCATAGATGTTAATCAAACTTTCAGGCAGTTTGATTTCCAAGTTCAACTATACCCGGTCATGCCACTAGCACTTTTGGTTTGTACAAGTTTACAACTCTTTAAGTTATGGTTATGGTCTTGTATCAACAACGTTAGTGGCTATTTTGCGAAGTTTTATTTTTTGTTGTTGTTGTTTTTTTTTTGCATGTAGCTCGTTTCTCATAGCTACAAATTCCTTCATTACTAAATTCACTGTTATCTTGTGTAGGCTTAATTAAAACAGGAAAACTAATGTACGTCAAATTATTTAAGATGACATAATACATATGTAGTTGAATTATAGGTTTAAGTTGGATTATGCTATGCATGCCAACCAAATAAAAGTTCGTCATCAGATCAGACCTTGACACATAAAATTCATGAATGTTAGCACTTAGAACTATATCATTTATCTCAAAATCCCTCCATAAAACAAACTGTACATTGCTGATAACACAACAATCATCTTCATTGAAATTATAGATAGAATGTATATATATATATATATATTTTAACTTATTACCTTCCCACTAAACTATTTCGTTCACATTAGAAGTGAAAATGATTTTAAAGGAATATATATGAAGTTTATCGGGCAAATAAATCCACTATTGCTTATTAGTGAAAATGATTTTAAAGTAATATATATGAAGCTTTTTTTTTTTTTTGATGACAAAAAAAAAGCAACATTACCCATGGGGTTTTAAGCAATTTTTAGCACAAGATATGCTTAGAATGACTTCTTAAATAAAAGGCCACTCGGCGACAAAAAAAAAAAAAAGGCCACTCTTAACAAATCTTATGGTAAGAATTGTTTAAGACTCATGGATAATGGTGGTCTTAGTTATGAGTTAGAATTCTAAATGCAGTATGTTATATTCCTTTTTAACAAGTTTCTTAATTTATAATCATCAAAAATTTGTATTTTCTTATCAAATATAGAGTACTAGGTTCGGACCCGCGCTACAGCGCGGAGGAAAATTACCGGTTTTATTGGTTTATTAAGGAATTTAAAAATCGAGTATACAGTTATAGAAGATCCAATTAAAAACTTTTGGAGCCGTTTTTAAAATAACCCGATCTGAATTCCTTTTTTATTTCTTTTTTAATATATAAGAGATATAATTCTTTGATAAAACTTGTTCGTATTAAATTTGATTTAATCAATATTTGAATATTGTATTTTGTTAATAAGACTTTGTATAAACCATCGCAAAAATTTGATTTTCTCATACGACCCGTAATTCACTAAAACTGAATAACTTTTCCAGATAATTTCAAATTATATTTATGTAAGATTTGGTATTACATTGTATTTGGTTTTAGTTAAGTGGTGTGTATTATGTTCCGATCGATTACAAAATTATTAATGATTTAATATATGTTCTGACAGGTTGTAAAATTAACAATTATTTTATATATTTATAATATTTGAACCATTTCAAACTTTTAATATTTATAATATGAACATTTTAAAATTTTTATACATAAACTAATGGTTCATATTGCGTTGTAAGCTCTCTATCTAATTAAGAGAATGGGTTAAGGAAGTTTAGGAAAACTAATCGAGATGCTAGAATGAGAGGTTAGGTTATAGTTTGTAATTAGAGACACTTGTCTGTTTGTTTTAAAGCCCAGTTCTCGATTTTAGTTGCTTTATTAGTCTCTTATATAGTGTAGTAACTATGCGTAGGCATAGTTAAGTGTAATAGCAATGCGTAGTCTCTTATATAGTTGTTCACATCCTATTATAGTTAAGTGGTTCAGGATATGTTATTCGTTTTTTATTCATCGAATATTCTGTTTTTTGATATTTTTGATTTTCATAATATTAGATTGCACAAAAGCAGGATCTGTTATGGCAAAACAATTAATTGAAAATCACGATTTTTTAGGGATTGCCCAAATATCAATGAAATTTCCTAATATACAGACATTTATATTTGCAAACTAATTTAATTTCGAAATAACATTAATGCTATGCTAAAATCGGCCGGATATATCCAATAATTTTGGTAAGATCCATTAACGAAATATCCAATTAGAAAATCTGGGTTTAATTTTTTTATAACTCGACCCGAAAACACAATTGTACTTCTCTTTTAATATATAAGGGATATGGTATAGAAACATTGTACTACATATTTTGCCCACCCACACGACCAAAGAGGCTCTTATATTTCTAAGAATTTTTGTAAGATATAAACCATTATCTTAATTAAATAACCAAAAATAATTTTTATTAAACAAACTAAATAGAAATATTACATATACATAGTTATCAAAAATTGATCAGGATACATTATATACCTTTTGAACTGAGTAAATATATATGTAAAAAGTTAAAGAAATAAAAGGTAAAACTGAAATTTTGCATAAACAACGTAATAACAATAATGTTAGAGATTGAAAGAATATTTATTTTGTTCACATCTTATATAGGCTTTAATTTACGGTTGCTCTAGTAGACCAATACCAATATAACAGTTATTACTGTTACATTGGCCTCCAATTATGCACCTTACGGATCGGACCATTCTCTCTCCTGAAATAAACTCCATCTTCTCTAGCTATCCAATCATATGTGTGTCCGTTAGGCACACCATCTTGGTATTTATACACATCAAATTTATTTCCAAGCCTATAGTTAGGCCCATGTCTTAAAGTACACCAATAAAGTTTCGAGCGACGCCAATTTTGTTCGACACCAAAATGGTGTACTTTTCCCCACGGTATATATTTTGGTCCTTGGTCCTGACTTCCAGATTTACAATGCACAAAGAGGGTTGTGTGCTTGTGCTTGGGATCGAGATCGTTCCAGATATGGATATCATTTGTTAGACCGGATACATTACCAATCATGCATTGGCCACAAACAATTAGAAAAACTAAAAGATAGTTCATTTTTTTCTTTCTTTTCAGATACTTATATTTTTTAATTTTCTTTTGTTAAATTGATTTCGTGCTTGTGATAATATATATACATCTACAGATTGCTATTTTTGGATTACATTTTCTTTATCACAACTTTTTTTTTAGGAATTTTCTATTATAATCGGGTCAAAATAGAAACGCATGGACGTCTGATGTTCTCTAGACTCTAGTAGCTATATGCGCTTCGACGCATACGTGGAACCGCTTATTACGCTCTTCCATAACAATGATAGGAAGACCAAACGTGAGTGAGGACATTCTGAGCAATTGTGTGAAATAAAACCGGAAGTCATCCCGCACAAAACTGACGTGTTCAAACGATACCGACTCTAATGTCCAACGAATAAACAATCTCCAACTCTTGCACGTAAAGAATCATTACAGAGAAAATGACACAAAGAAACTTGTAACGAACTCGTGCCCACTTTACAAAAACACCACACTAGACTCCAAGTCTGGACCAGAACTTGTGTTCATTTATATATATAGCTCGCTTGTAACATATGTGGAACCTTGAGTTCTAGCCAACATGCTAAAGAACAAAATCATCAATTTGATATAATTATGAGCAATATATGTTATACAAAAATATCTAACCAGGTTTGTTCGCTTTGTCGGTCTAAGTATGTACACGTACACATGCCTATATGTCTCGATTCATTTTTCATTTTATTCATTGACGTACGTTGTTTCTGATAGTTCTAACGTATTTATGGAATCTCCCATTTGACATTAGCTAAAGGACATTCTCATTTCATCCACTTCATCAAGTCATCCACATTCGCCTTCGTACCGTGTTTATATATATGTACACGGACATGCATGTATCCAAAATTACCGTAAGAACATGACTCATCATACATGAATTAATAACCAAAGTTTTAACAACACAAAACCACACCCCTCCCTCTGTTTGTATACCCAATGAAAGCCACACCAAAAAAGAAATGTGAAACTAAAAAAAAAGATATAGAACTTGAAAACTATTGAGTTCTCGGACCCCAAAAAGAAACCCAAATTAAGCCAGAATATACCCTCCTAACCCCAATGAAAAGAAACACCAACCCATGTGGTGGACCTTAGAATTACATAGATGGAAAAATAAGAGTGATCAAAGTCAGGACCATATTATTTACATACATATAATTTACCTCGAGTGAACTTAACAGTGGACCATAGTAAACCTTGAACCAATCTTGAAACTCTTTTGTTTTTCTTGAACAACGCAAAGGAAGATGATTGAGATGGGGAGATGAAGAGGATCCGAGGGAGCTTTATAGTACCAAGATCAACTTTCCCCATGATTAGATCTCTCTGATCCAAGCTTCTTCTCTCATCTCAAAACAAAAAGGAAAAAAAAAAAAGTGATGAAGATGAACCCTAGCTAGTTATAGATCATATAACCAAAGGTTTTTGTTTATATCAAGGAGGTGAGGGAGGATCCAACGTTATTATTTGTTGGATCAAGCCATGCTCCATTGACAACACTTGCATTATTCCACATGCTGCTGTAGTTTGATGGATCCAAAGATGATGATGACATGAACCCATTAATGTTCCCAGAGATCTGATCAAGCTTTCCTTCTTTGTTCATGTCTCCACAGTTACCTCCAACATGCAGATCTTGAAGTGATGCTAGGGTTTGTAGATGGGATTGTCCCAACATGTCACTACCATTGTTGATGGGCTTGTGTTGCTGCTGGAGAAGAGTAGAGGAAGAAGAAGACATGGAAGAACCAAATAGACCCGATAGAAGAAAGGGTTTGTTTGTTGTGGAGTTGTTGACGAAGCTACCATTAATGTTGTGGTCATGACTCATATGATGCGGAAGCCCTAATCCAAGAGAACTAAGACTGCTAAAGCCAGATGAGAGAAACTCACCCTCTAAACCACTTGATGAAGAAGTCTTTGAAGAATCACTGAAACGGCTTGGAATCATTGGAAGATTATTACAGCTGCTCACATGATCTGATAAACCATAGAACAAGGGATGATGATGATTCATGGAAGAGAAATGGGAGATCTGATGAGAGTTATTAGGGGATGAAGAAGTGGTCGTCGAGACTGTGGAGGCAGTGGTTGCGGTTGTGGTCGATGGCCGCTTCATTCGTTTGTTCTTCCGGTAGCTACCGCCTACGGGAACGTTCCTGAGAGTCCCACCTCGCGTCCAGTATCTCTTGCAAGCCTTGCAAAAGTGACGCGGCTGAGAGAGGCTGTAGTTATTGTAGTAGCAAAACTTTGTGTTCGAGGAATCGCAACGAGGGCATTTAAGTTGTGGTTGCGGCTGCTGCGGTTGTTGTTGTTGTTGTTGCTGCTGTTGATGAGATGAAGCCACGATCATGTTCTTGCTCTGCATACTCGCCTGAGGAAGAGAGGGAGAGAAAGAAAGAGAGAAAGGATTCTTTAGATCGTGTGGTTTAACTAAAGGCTAAGAGAACAACGAGAGGACAAGAGGATATTATTCGGATCCAAAAGCTAAGAAACAAAAAAAATAAATGGGTCATATTATTTAGAGAGAGAAATTTATAAAGGAAAGAGAGATAGAGAGAGAGAGAGAGAGACCAGTGGATTGGTGTTGGGAGAGCTGATGATAGGCATCTTCTTCTTCTTCTGGTCACAATTGCCAAACATATCTTTCTTGATTAAGCTCTTTTGATTTTATTTTGTTTTGTTTTGTTTTTCTTTACTTCTATAAAGGAGAATCCTTTTGAAACCAGCAGTGTACAGACAAAGAGCTGTTGGCTATTATTACTGTTTTAACTTTCAAAGATTGAAGCACAAAGATTCTTGACAGATGGTTTTCTATAAGCTCTTTATTTTATATTTTTCTTTTTGTAATGTTGTTATTCGTGCCACTATTGATTATATATATACTATGTGTGAGTTGCACTAGGGTTTTCTCGAGTTTGTACTTTAACATATTGCTACTAGTTTTTAAAATAAGATTTTGCTACAGAGATGTTTTCAAGATGCCTTTGTTCTAAACAATGGTCCTTACACCGGCTCATTTTACTATTTTATCATATATTTCAGTTCTCTGTACAAAAAAAAAACATCAGTTTCCTTGACCGACTTTTAATAAAATCGTTTTCATTATTTTCTAATTTTTTTCTCAATAACTTAATTATATATCTCGTTTCAAAAAAAAAAAAAAAAAAAAAAAGAACTTAAGTATATATCATCGAAATATTTATACAATATCTTTTGGATAGGAAGTACTATGCCTTAATTTTATCCACAATTATAATGTCTTCTTTGCGTATCATATGGTATCCACTGTAAATTTCTCTAACTTGTCATATGGCCTGTTTGCCGGATTGTATTACCCTTATAAACTTCAGAAATTGGTATAGGAACAAATATACTATAAACGATGTTCAATTAGTAAAATAGCACGAAATTTGAGAAACTTGCATAGTTTGATGAACAATTATACCCACTCATCTTCTCTTTATTCCAGTTTTGTATGTATCATTTTTCTCCCGGATCCCCTATCTTTTTACCATGATACCATTTATTTAAGTTTATAATCTGATAAACCTAAACCATTTTCATTGCTAGTGAAATAATTTCACTTATCTTTCACATTTTTTGGGTCATGAATGTAATAAAGTTTAACATTGTTTAGCAAAAAAAACTAGGCCTAATTAATGTCTTAAAACTAAACGGCCTTAAGCACCTTATATATGAATCATCTAGAGACATATATGATTTGTAAGAAGTAAGAATATTATTTTCTCAAATAACCTAGGGACAACTTTGATAACATCCCATCCTTTTTGTTTGTTCTACGCAGAATTGAAAAACACATATAAATAACCAATTTACACCCAAAAAAAACAAACTCATTATATTATTGTTTCTTGAATCTTTAAATGATAAAGATCTCAATATTGAATAAATTTCTGTTGAACAAGGAAAATATATTGATACTATCAGAAAATTAAATAGTTTTCTAAACATTTAACTATTAACCAACTAAAACAAGTCCAAATACTAGACCTAGTTTGATGTATATATTGGTTCTGTTCTCCATTTATTTGATTTTAAAATGATAGAATACAAAGTAAATACTAAATTTAAATGCTTGTGTGAATCGAAGTAACTATTTCATTTTATACGTACAATTGTTTTTGTCTTACTACTAGCCCTGATTTTGAGCTTAACAAGGCGGGTTAATTAACTTGACATCTCTGTTAAATCGTATCTTAAACTGAACCTAGATCCCTGATGGAATAACTTACATTAAACTAAAGTGTATGTATATATACATATATTGAAAATTTGTAATAGTAAGAAAAAGATAGAGACAATAAAGGAGAATGTAACAGGTGAATCTTTCAGAGGGATCGAGGAACATCACTCATCACGATAAGTGACATTCTTTTGCATATTGTGGAATTGGAGTGAATCCCTAGACCCACATCACCCTATCAATCCCACTTCCAACTCTTTGTTTTCATTTTATATACATTCCAACAATCATATAATATACACATATCTATTATCAAGACTACTATATAGTTCTTGTACGCGTCGGTTTGAATATTATATCGTACCTCTCCCTCCTATAATAATACTAGTTGCACCTTTTAAGATGTTAGTAATAATTCATGAGATTTCTTACAATATTTTAGCAAGCTGGAGAATGTTTTAGAGATATAGATAAAATTGAATACATCCAGGAATGATAGCAGTGCACAATATAATATGAAGTAAACTAACTATAACATTCTTTTGAAATCAAACTATGTAAGTATAAAATCAAAGGTTATATTATACTAGTTTACTTCATTATATTGATTGACATCACCAAATCAAGTCGAGTTTTTGGTGACAACGACGGTCTTGGAAAAGTTGAGCGATATATTCCGAAATAGGCACTATTGTCTAATTGTAATTGAGACTATATATATATATAATATGCATGGTAGATCAAATAATCACATCATTACTAAGTCATGGATAGGAAAAAAACAATCAAAATCTTTAAGAATTAAAAAAAGAAAAGAAAAATAGGGTTAGATTAGACTTAGAGAGAGTTGCAAGAAAAACAAATGAGAAGAAGGTTATCGAGAAGTGAAAGCTCCAAGAGGAAAGGGACAAAATAGAGCATAAGTGCATGTGATGTTCCATCTCACTCACTGCCAACCCCAAATGGGTTCACATTTCCAATCTTTACTTTATTCTCCATCGTCTCTTTCCTTACATTATCTTTGCTTTTCTTTACTTTTTATTAAAATAAGAGGATTAGATCTTAGGACTATGTATCGAAACTAAAACATATCACATCCATGTTTACATTTTTTTTCTTTTTTTTTCGCGTCTTAAACTATACAGTAGATACTACTGCAAAAAAAATCATTGTTCTAATGGATATATCATGAGATAAACCATAAATCAGAAATCATTTAGCCAAAGATTAGCATGTAATATTTGCATATTCTTGTGCTGAGACGATTGGTATGGTTTAAGAGAATAAAATGTACATGCATGAAACTCTCTGTTTGCAGTAATATATGTCAATCAAGAACTAAATGTATGCATGAGCTGCGAGAACCACTCACTATTTTACTTGTCAATACTCAATAGCAGCCAGAGCTCCCGATCGAGTAACTCGATTTTATAATATGATATATATGTACTTACTTGAAAATTGAAATTATCATATGTATCGTTTTTTCTTAACATGTCTTTTTCTAGTCGTGCTCTTTCTTGGTAATAATTTCTCACGACTTCACCACAAAACACAATTACTATAAACCAAATAAAGAATCACCAAATAACTTCTTAGATAAAGTCATTACTCGTTTTTCAAAAGAGTCTACGCTTTATCAAAAAAAAAAAAGAAGATGATACACAAATACTCTTGGTGCCTATGTACGTACGTATGTGTGAATATATATTTACGATGATGCATGTGGGAGGCAGATTGGGAAAAAGAAAAGCAAAAAGCATTAGCATTAGCCTAGGGAAACTAACGAATGTTTTTGTAACTCCCAAGGGATTTTCTCATTCTTCCCTAAAGTTCCATTCTCTGTTTTTAATTAATTACTTACTGCATACAAAAATAATATATTCTCGTCTTTGTTTAGTAATTTTGTTTTTGTCAGATAACTAATTTTGTTTCTTTATTCCCCTAAATTTCGTTCTATTTTCTCGAAAATCAATGTTAGTTTGTTCTTCTCCAGATTGCTCTTTTTCTTGGAATACTTGCTTTTTGCCAAAGAAGGTTAACGTTTTTTTTTTTTTCCATTATTTTTGTTGTTTTCTTCGACAGTGTTCTCGCATAGTTTGATTGGCAGTTGATTTCGATTCTTTTGCATCACAGTCAATATATTAAAGTAAGCATATTCAGTTTTTATACCCAAAAAAAAAAGGAAAAAATAAAGAAAAGAATGTTTGGTTTTGTTTCTGTCCAAGAAGTTGCGAATACAAGACAAAGAGAGGAATGATGTTTATATATTGTGCATTTTGTTATAAGATTAAACAAAGAAGGAAATTATTTTTTTAATATATAAAAAGGAATGAAACTTTTTATATATATATATAGTTTCAAATAACACAAAGTTCCCAAAAGTAACAAAATACGTAGAATGGTCAAGTGCGATATACTTATAAAATGTAACATATTAGTATAACTATTTTTCAAATCTCTAAAAAAGTAACAAACTGATTGATTGAACTTAATCTCTAATGAAGTACCAATAACTAACTGTAATATGTTTTGTCTTTGAATGATTAATCAACATATGTAGTGACTAGTAATGTCGCAATATAAATCATTGATGCTAATTAATGACAATGAGAGGATAAATTTGGTATGAAAGTGATTTACCCATTAAAAGTTCATATGTAGTGATGGTAACAGATCGATACTTTGCTTATGTTGGAGATCGAACTACATCTTTTTCTTAAAAGACCTTGATCAAACTGTTTCTTATAAATCATCTACTACCAAACACTTGCAAAATTTTTTAATTCAAACCGAAGATCCATATATTGGTGCGACATCCGATGGAACCATGCATGAGTCCATGACCACCCGAAGTTAATATAATTGTATATAACAACATCAAATTCATCACTCATCACGAGATGGCATCTTGAATCATTGAGAATTTGGATCCACATTTTAGGTGAAAGATAGAGGTAGTGAAGGTGTATTTAGTGGAAGCCTAGCTAATTTGTGAACATGATTTTTGAAACGAGTTCATTAGTGCCCGAATAAGTGTTGGATATGGTACATGTTTCTTTTTTTGGGTAGGGCTTGCATGTTCTTGACCACAAGCTAAAGTGGGAAATTGTGGTCTTAACCACATGTATACACTATAGTGGAAGATGATTGGTTTTTAAAGAGATGGTATGTTTCACGAAAACAAACATGCTGGGATATGTACTTCTGGAAAGAGAATATGCATTTTATTAGTAACATTTTTTCATGTTCCTTGTGATTGTGTTATCGGTGATTTATTGAAACTGCATCAGTTTAGTTACGTTTTTTTTGCACATATAACAATTGGTTTATCTTTAACGAGCATAGTGAATCTGCTACTATGCAGCGATTACATTTTGTTATGCACTCTCCGTGGACGACTGATTCTGGTATCAATAAGTCGATACATGGATAAGGGATTATTCTAATTTGTTATGTTTGATTGTGCTTACGAGTTTATAAGATAGTTTTCCATGCATGTTATGGTGATGCATAAGCATAACATACTAC